CAGTAAAAGTGAAGGGGACACTACACTGTCAGTGGGCGCCGTCTTTCGGATAAGACTTTAAATCGAGGTCCTGACTCTCTGTGGTCATTAAAAATCCCAAGGCACTTCTCGTGAAAGAGCAGGGGTGTAACCCCTCTATCGGCCCTTGTGATCATGGCCTCCCAATCATCCCCTCTCCACCGAATTGGCTCTATCACTGTCCCTCTACTCCACCAATAGCTGGTGTGTGGTGAGCGCACAGGCGCCGTTGTCCTGTGGCAGCCGTCGCATCATCCAAGTGGATGCTGCACACTGGTGGTGTTGTGGAGAGACCCCCCCTCATGATTGTGAAGCGCTTTGGGTGTATGGCCATACACAATAAATGCGCTATATAAATTCACATTTCATTACATTACATAGGGTTGGAGCAGAACTGTGCAGAGCTGCGGCTCTCCAGGAATTGAGTTTGAGACCTATGCTTTTAAGCCTAAGGCCCTGGTACAGTATAAGCATGGCACAGTTATTTTTCATCGTTTGCTTGGGGGTAAAAAGAAGTGAAATATCTGATTAGCAATGTACTCTAAGCTGGCATTCTTATCACATCAACTTATACTTCAGGATTGTGCAGATCTAGTATGAAATGTATTGTACACACAAAATCATGATAGAAATTTCAACCTGGCAATGTATAACCCATGCATACAGTACAAACATACCTACATATAAAATATTAATTATGTATCTATTTATTTATTGAGGAGTATCTAGCCTGTTTCTCATCCAGAACCATGTTTGTTTTTACTCCTGAACGTCTGAATTTGACAAGAATGTCCTGACTGAATTTCTGAGAAATAAGAATAGTTTCTTGTTAAAGAAGCCAGAGTCCCAGGAGACCTCAATTTTTGACATTACTGTCACAAACCAAAGTTAGCTCGAAGATGTTTACCAGTCAGAGCAAACTTTTCCAGAAAGTTCAGCAAAAGAGTCAAACTAATGATACTTTGGACTGGTTTAGTTTGAAAAGACATCATGTCACTTCCTTCTCTGATTTCACTTGAAATATATTGGGGCCTTTAGGCCTTTTTGTTTACTCACTTGATGTCCATCACTTCCTGTCTGTTTCTTTGAAGAGCCTTTTTATTGCTGGCAAAAGATTCCTTCAGGCTTGTAAGTTCAATTCTTTGTTCCTCCAGCTCAGATGTGAGACTTTCTACAGCAGACACATGCTCGTCGAGACGTGATTTGGTGACCAAAACAGTGTCAGTGAGCCCAGAAATGGTAACGGATACCTCAGAGTTAGCAGCAAGGAGAGAATTTAGCCTCTGCTTCAGTGTTTCGATCTCTTCAGATTTATTCTTGTCAACTGCATTCAGCGAAGCAGTGGAAACAAACTCCTGCTGGAGTCCAGAAAGTTTGGTGTTCATCTCGGTCTGAAGAGACCAGACTTGGTTTTGAACATCAGTAGATTTGAGTTTTTCTGAGGTGGCCAGTGCAACATCTGCCTTTTTTTGGGCCTGTGTGTAGGCCTCTTCCAGAGCTTGTAGACGCTCTTCAAAAACACCAACATTGGCAACCTAGAAATATAGACAACATGCTTTAATTGCAACGAAGTTTAATTATTAACTTCAGCAGTGGAACCACACCTCACTTTGTCTCCTTAACCAATCATCCACTGCCTAAAATCTTATTTTAAGCAGACCAGACCTCTATCACTGCTCTTCTTGTTCTCTTGAACTCACCCTCCCTTTATTTCCTCACTTCCTATTAAAAATCCTATAACCCTCTTGTCCTTCCTATGTTGAATCTCTGGATCCAATCAGTCTACCAAATATTACAGAGACGATAACCCCACTCTGAGTCTCTGGGCATCATTGTAGGACACCCAATCAACCATACCAACCTGTTCACCGTTTATCCCTCTTACTTCCCTTTCCGTTTTATCCAACTGTTCCCTTACCATCTCAACAATAAAGTCTGGCTTAAAGTTTGGTGTGGTCCATGCTGGTGAAGAATGTTTAAGGTCTGAAACAGCCTCCTCTGTAAGGTCCGGCTCAGTCCATCATGTGAAACTACAGTACTCAATGTATGAAGTGGATCACCACCTTTCATCAACTATTAAACACCCATTCTTGTCTTAGGACAATTTTGATTCACCTCGAATATTGACTTATCCTAAATGTATAGCAAAGTTATCAAAGTTGGCAAAAAAGTCAGTGGTTAGAGCAGCTGAGTATAGTATTGGAAACCAAGCAACAAACCTAAACAAGGCAAGCATAATGGAGACAGCTGATTGGACACATGGTGGTAATGTTTGCTTCCTCAGCATTTTATCAGCAAATGGATTTCAATTTCCTTTTATTCACCAAAACCACCTCAATTGAACATTATTTTAGTTTTTTGTTTAAAACGTAGTCTATCATCATTTGCTTTTCAAATGATTTATGATCTCTTAATATTAATCAGTTATTAATAATTACATCTGAAGTGTAGTAGAGACTTATCCAAGGCCACTGTGAATAATGCAGGATTAAAAATTACACTTTTATATATTGTTAATATTGATAACAAGCTCACTTGAGTTTTGCTTGTGATTTTATGATTCAGTTGATTTTCATGAACAGTAGAAGACTAAACAATGCTCTTTGCAATTGATGTTGCATTAGATATATACTACGGCTTTTAAAGAGTTTTGTGATTAAAATGAATGATTAAAATCATCCCAACTGATATTTTAAAGCATCATGAGGTCAATTTAACGAGGTAAATGTGTACCCAAAAACACCATCTGGTTACAATTAACCTCTGGCTATGAATGACCTGGAAAGATTTCCTACAGTGTTTTACACAAAGAGCCTATTTTATGTAAGCTTCTGACATTTAAAATTGTGACATTTCCTTTAATAGAAATTGAATAACTAACATTATATAAATCTGGGTTAGAAGTTAGGCAAAATTTTCTAAATGTTAAGCTAAAATTGTTTATTTTATTTAATTTTTTATAAGAACTTGAATACAACGTTAATGGTGTGATGGCATTCACCTTTTACAGTGCAGTATGTTTGTGAAAACAGTTTTTTTAAGTGCATGAGAAAGTACTAGAATGACCACCGGCGAAAGAGAATTTAAAGAGTTTTGCAATTGGATTTCAAATGTGGCCATTAATCCAATGCTGTACACCTTTTAAGATAAAATAATTTACTTGTTTGTTTAAATGTTCACTTTTACATGTTGGTTAGAACTCCATTTGCATGGTGTCCTTTAAACAAGCCAGCATGGCAAAAGGAAACATGATCCTGGTCCGAACTGACTATTAATGGCCTGTGAGCCACATGACACAATTCAACGAATGGAATATTGAAAGGGCACATGAGACATGAATTCAGATCTGACTGTATTAAAGGCTTTTTCCAGTGAAATCAATACAAATAACTTAATATGTACACCTAAATAGGTAATTTTACACAAGTGGTCAGTGAGGTACACAATGTTCCATGTGAAAAACAAGCTAATTAATGTAATTATTGTTAATTCAAAACACGAAAAAATGCATATCTGTTGAATATTTTTCATTTGTTAAATACGTATTTAGTGTCATACAATTAAATACCTGTGCATTACCCATTCCCAACTGCTGTTGGAACTTGGTTATCCTGAGTTGCATTGCATTGACCGTCTCAGTCAGACTGTCAATAGTTTGCTGCTGCTGGCAGCAGAACCAGACTGCTGTTGATCCCCCGACAGCGAAAATAAAGAAAACAATGGCAGGGACCGCATATTCTTTAAATCCCCTCGGTGGAGTTACGGATGGCGTCTCCAAGAGCAGCAAACTGTCGTCCTGTTTGTTGGTACTTTTTCCTTTGCGCTTGGTCATCTTGGCTTTGCGGAGGATCTGCACGGTAGCCTGCAACTCTCCCCCTTTCACTGATTTATTCAGTGATTAGGTGACGGCTGTATTGGTCCACAACGACGGGGAAAAATCAAAAGTGAACTTTCAAGCACGAGGAGCGCGAGTAGGGGGCGTTGCGCACTGGAGGCGGTCTCAGTTTCATGGCGCTGCGTAACACGTATGTTTGAGAAAATATAAAGTAAGAAGTAAGAAGTAAAGAAATCGATTTAGATCTATAGATATATCTATCTATGCTGATAGAGTCAGTATTTTAGTAAGTTGCTCTATATTATATTAAAATAAACTGAAATAAAAATAAAATAAAAATGGAAAACATTGTGATATGTTGGTAAGTTACTGTGTTTTTAAATAAATGCTTTTAAATTATTTATTATTTTTATTGCCATTGATGGTTCCATAAAGAATCTTTAACATTTTAAAAACATTTCTTACACACAAAGAAAGAAAGAAAAGTTTTTTAGGGAGCCAAAATGTTTCTATGGTCTTGCTAAAAACTCTTTTATATTAAAAAGTGTTATCATTTCATATTTCTTTTAGTTCTACAGACTTAATGAAGCTTATCGTGTGTTCTTGGTTTCTTTTTAGATTTCAGCTGACATGAGAAGACTTTGGCTATGCCATTTAAAGGTGAGTCTTCATAACATTTCAAAGTTAAGACAATTTTGAGACCTTTCTCTTGTGCATGAACAGTTTTACTTGATAAAAACTACATTTATGACTGGATATTAGTACTGGAACAGAGACTTACTGTTGATAGCAGTGATCTTTCATTTCAATTTCACACACAGCCTCTTTTAAGACATCTCAAGGTAACCTCATACATTTAATATTAAGAAGATAGATAGATAGATAGATAGATAGATAGATAGATAGATAGATAGATAGATAGATAGATAGATAGATAGATAGATAGATAGATAGATAGATAGATAGATAGATAGATAGATAGATAGATAGATAGATAGATAGATAGATAGATAGATAGATAGATAGATAGAGAATATTTAATACATACAGGTGATAACATTTATTCCCTAAAATCACATCAGTTATTATTTCACTTTTGAGAATGCATTTTAAAACAGCTGCTGTGTTCTTTGACATTCATTCTTTTTCACTCTGTAAAACATGAAAACAGAAAAATGTAGTTAAATGGCTAAAAGTAAAAGACTAAGTCAAATGAATGATCATTTTAAGCACAAATAGCTCAGTTAGTACTAAAACAGTGGTCATACCTTTGATTATGAGCTTGGTGGCGCTCTCATCATGACCAAGAGGGCTTTCGGCCACAACCTTGTACTCTCCAATGTCTTTGCGTTCAACCCTCAGGATCAGCAGGGAACAAACCCCACACACATTGGTGATGTAGTAGTTTGGGTTTGTGTTGAGGCTGATGTTGTTGTGGTACCAGGTGATATGTGGGGTCGGGTTGCCGGTAACAGCACAGCTCATGTGGCACTCATAACCCGGCGGAGCAGCATGGAGTTTCAATGGGACAATAAATCTGGGGGCTGCCTGGAAGTCTATGGTCTTTGATACAGGCATGCTGTATGTGTGTTTTTCTGAAAATGGTAGAGAGATGGAAAAACGTGGTTGTCAGTTTATTTTTGGCTACCTTACAGTATAGCAAACAACAACTTGTGTGCAATTTTCTGTGAGCATGATAGTGTCTAAGTGAAGGTGCAGTAAAAGCTGGAGGGATGCGAGCAAATTATGAAGTGCAGACCATCACTGGCAAAGAAATGATCCAGAGCCAGTGTAACAGACCATCTTTACACTGCAGCTGTCAACGTACCGGTACAACATTTCCAGGACAAGACAAGGTGTTAGTTTAGTGGCTATATGTCAGGGACAGCAGCACTAAGTCCCAGAGGTATAAACCTGGATAAGGGTGACCCATAAAGAGAGTTTCATAGATCTTCTATCATCACTGCCCTTGAGCAAGACACTTATCTCTGGCTTCTCCGAGGAATTCGCTGCAATTAGTGTTCTGTAAATTGCTTTGGGAAAAGGTGCCCGTTACAGGCAAGTGCTAGTGCCGCCTAGACCATTGATCGCCCAAACGCAATTTGTTTTCACGATTATTTATTTTGGTAGTTGATTGCCAATTGTGATTCTGGACCACAAAATCAGACTTCAGTTGCACGGGTTTATTTGTGGCAATAACCAAAAAATACATTGTATGGGTCAGAAGTATAGATTGTTCTTTTATTTCAAAAACCATTTGATTAATTTGTAAAGATCACATTCCATGAAGATTATTTATACTGTTTATGTTTACTGTAAATATATTGAAACATTTAAAAATAGATTTTTTTTAAAATATCAGATTCCAGATTTTTTTCAATATTGTGCAATTTTGGTGAGCCTGTCTGAATTGTAGCATCAGTTTTCTGTACTTGGCACACGTTATGGTCTTCTGCTGATGTAGCCTATCCGCCTCAAGGTTGGACATGTTGTGAGTTCAGTGTGAGTTCAGTGTTGCTCCTCTGCATACCTTGGTTGTAATTAGTGGTTTTTTGAGTTAGTGACACCTTTCTATTAGCTCAAACAACTCTGGCCATTCTCCTCTGACCTCTGACATCAACAAGGCATTGTACCCACAGAACTGCCACTCACTGGATATTTTCTCTTTTTCAGACCATTCTCTGTAAACTCTAGAGATGCTTGTGTGTGAAAATCCCAGTAGATCAGCAGTTTCTGAAATACTCAGACCAGCCCATCTGGCACCAACAACCATGCCACGTTTAAAGTCCATTAAATCACCTTTCTTCCCCATTCTGCTGCTGCAGCATGAACTGCAGCAGATCGTCTTGATCATGTCTACATACCTAAATGAATTGAGGTGCTGCCATGTGATTGGCTGATTAGAGATTTGCTTTAACGAGCAGTTGGAAAGGTGTACCTAATAAAGTGGCCAGTGAGAGTATTTATTCAGCTTTAAATTGATGTATAATTTTTCAACAATTTTCAACAATCAACAATTTGACACTTATTACTGGCTTTGTGGTCTAGGGCAGTGATGTGCCTTGGGGTTTTTGGCTGGTGAGGCACTGAAAATTATGTGCACCCAATATATTTGCCAACTACAGATTGCATCTCATATCAGCATTTCTTCTATACACATAGCAGGTACATAGGTCTTTTGGACCAAGGAAGAATGTAAAATTGACCCGACCACACATCTTGGGTCTAGGGTCACAATTGTCTTTAAATTTATTTATTTTTTGATACATTTTTTTTAATGTTAGATTTTTAATGAAATTTTATGTGTTATATATGTTTAGAGTATACACACACACACACACACACACACACACACACATCTATCTATCTATATCTATATATATCTATATATATATATATATTTGTGTATTTATATATTAATGTGCATTTTATGTATACACAGACCTCTTTTTTTGGTGGTTCCCCAAACAGGAGACACTGATGGCTCCGAGAGACCTATATCATTCTTGGCAAACACTCTGAAAGTGTACTCTCGTCCTGGCAAGATGTTAATGACTGTGAATTTGTTGTTGAACAAGCGATCGACCACTGTGCGCCATGTCTGCTTGACAGAGTCCCGCTTCATCACCATGTAATGTAGATGATTGTCTCGTTTCTCATCAGGGGATGGAGTCCATGACAGAGTCACAGTGTCGTGGACATTTTGTTCCAGTTCTACTGGACCTGGAGGCTTGGGGTCATCTGATGATGAAAAATAAACAGGTAGCCTTTAGTTATCATTACATTACACTCTAAAACAATTATTTTTTGTATCCAAACATGAGTCAAATATGGACACAACCAATATTGTTTTTTTTTTTTTTTTAATTAAGTTTAAATTAAACTTTTTAACCCATTGATTGGGTTTGTCCATATTTGACCAACAGTAAATGTAGAGTCTCCCTAGCTGGGAGAGGGTGTTTAACTGCATTTTTGAGTCTATGATTTCGTCTATTAATTACTAAACCTCATAAATGTATGTTTATTCACTTTTCCTAACAGAAATGTTTTTCAATAATTTGTAACCGTTTAGATGATTTATTATGCAGTATGTGAATAGTATTTTCTGTCTTTTAGTAAATATATTGTATGATAAACTTACTGTAGCTATTTTAACCTCTTGTTAGAAAGCAATTCTGTCATTTCCAGTTCATAATAGTCCAAAAGGTGAGAATAATAGTTACAGTAAACATGGCAGTTTGTTTATGTTTCAGGTTGCTGAAAGAATCATTTGCTTCTTTGTTTTTTTCTGGCTTCTCCTTTGTTTTTTCGCATGTCACTCTCGCGTTTGTCCATTTCTGAAAGGATCAGATGTCAAAAGCACTTCAATAATCACACGCACATTATTAACATCAGCTCAAAAGGTTCGTTATTTCAAATATAGATGCTGGGTGAGCGCAAGCAAGAAAGTGAAACCGCTCGCACTTTAGACGGCCTTGTAAAAAAACTATGGAGCACAGGGTGGAACCTGCTCTTCTTCTTGGCTTTGTGGCTGCACATCAAGACGACGTCAAGGTTTGTTTGAGCTCGGGTCGACCATGGCTCGTTATTATAAGTTATAGTAGTTTTACGGTGTAATGTCTCGGCTGTGTATTTAAAAATGGCAGTTCCTTTGCTTTTATTCTGGCTTGTTGCACAAGCGAGTGAGGTATCTCTGTAAACCAACAGCTTTCAGTTGCGCGTCTAGCTCCGCTTTTTGGTACGCTTTTGTTGTGCTGGGTACCCTTTGCAAAGAGTACCCAAAAAGCGGTAAGGTACGGTTCGCTTTTAGGTACCTTTTGACAGTGGAAATGGTCATAAAAGTGTACCGAACTGTACCACTCAGTGGAAACGGGCCATTAACAAATTAGTGGTTCCGATTGGATATGCATTGTAAACCTTAAGTAAAAGTTAATCAAAATGTTATTCTTTTTTAAATTATTTTTCATTTTTATTATGTTTTCAGTTCCTATACTCTCAGAATCATTCCACATAAATTGCTGCACATAAAATGCTATAAATTAATTAATTAATTAAATCAGCATGTATGGCCATGGTATTTAGTAATTCCAGGCTTACTTCCAGCACAAACCTACATGTATGTCAATTTGGCATGATGTGCTGTAAAAGGTAGACCAATCACAACAGACTGGGCTGTCTGACCATTCAGAGAAGAGTTGTCTTTTATAAGGGAGGTGTTTAAAGAGAGTGGATTCTTAAACAAACCATTTCAAAGTAAATTTATGCACAAAACAGAAATATCGCATAGAAGATATGCAAATAAAGCAGAGTTTCCATCCAACGAGTCAAAGAGAATAAAATCATCGCCTCCTGATTAACTGCCTCCAAATATCAAGAGTAAAAACAGACTTCGCTGCAGTAGGAAAAGCTGCATGAATCTTTTCTTCCTTTAATATATAACTTGCGCCTCAGAAAAAATGCTGACACGCAGTGAACACGCTGTGGCATTAAAAGATGTAAAAGCACAGACGCTCAAACACATTTCAGATGTTTTACAGTGTGCTCAGCCTTCTGGTTTGTCCATTCACTTACATTTTTATCATTACATGACTTTTTTTATGTGCATACTGGAATTTTTTGGGTAAAAGTGTTTCCATCGTAGTTTATGCACATCTTTTCATATAGGAAGAAAAGTTTATCCTACTTAGATATGTGCATAAGTTTTTTATGCAATTTTTTTGAAAGTTATTTGCATTTTGGCGTTTCCATCAGCCATTATGTGCATATCCAAAATGCACATAAAAATAGGTGGATGGAAACATAGCTACTTGGGGAAAAAAAAAGAAGCTGATGATTTTTTTTTTGATCATATGAAACCTGTTTTAGGAGGAATCCAAAACCAAATTAATAGGGATACTTCAACATACGTGTACACGTTTTATAGGAAAGAAATCTGAGGAGTTAGATTACCAGTGACTCTTATTTCAATAGCGAAGGTGTCCTGGCCCACCGTGTTCTTCACATTGACTGTATAGATGCCAGTGTCAGACAGCTCTGAGGTGTAAATAAATAGCTGAGAACCTTTTTCAAAATTAGCAATCGTCACACGTTTGCCTACAGGAAAACCGTCTTTTAGCCATGTAATGTCTGGTAATGGAGAGGCCTGTGGACAAAAAAAAAAGAAGTTTAAATATGTTTAAATATGCAATATTATAGTTGACATAGTTAACCAGAAATTTTATTACTCTACCTCAAAACTGACACTGACACGAACAGTGTTTCCAGCTTTAACAACCATAAAGCTTTTCATTTTTTTGTCAGTGAACTTTGGCTTTACTAAAAATAAATATATCAAGGCAGGTTAATATAGATTCTGTCAAACCAGAAGCAAACACATTTAAATAAATAAGAATCTGTACCCGGAGGAGGCATGGCGATGATATAATTGTCAAAGCTCTGCGGAAGCCCCTCTCCTCCTTCATTGGTGGCAATCACTTGAACCCAATACATAGCCATTGACTTCAATCCCACAACAGTAAAGGAGGTCTGATTCACAGCATTTGTATTGCAGCGGCTCCACTCCAGTTGCTCTGCAGGCCTGATTTCCACAAAATAGCCCTTTGCTTCATCTTCCTCACCTTTGACTTCTGTGGGTTTAGTCCAGGACAGAGACAGGCTGGTGTAGCTTGATCCACTAATTTTAAGTTCTTTGACCTTACCGGGAGGCTCTGAGGTGATAACATCAGAAATATTGACTTTGAATCAAGAATACGGGTTGTACTCGGACAGGTCATATTTTTGCAATAGGGTGGCAGTGAGCATGATTTTGCCAAATAAGTCTTACTTTTGGGGTCTCTTGCAATCACGCATTCAGAGGGTCCGCTTGGTTCTCCAGGGCCACATGTGTTAACAGCAGAAACTCTGAACTCGTACTCTACACCTTCCATTACATCTTTTACTGCGTACTTCTTCTCTAAATAATAAATGAAAACATTAAATTTGTATTTGAAATTAGAGAAAAAAAGCAGACTTTGATTAAATTAAAGGGATAGTTCAGCCAAAACTGAATATTCCATCATCATTTATCATCTGAGGTTCTTTTTTTTCTGTTGAACACAATAGAAGATATTTTAAAGAAAGCTGTAAACCATTTTTTGGAATTTAAAAAGAAAATCCATTTCCCTTTGACATTTGCTTTCTTGAACACTGCTGATTTGCCATTGTGTTCACATGCTCAACAGAAATGAATGTTATGGCCACAGCCATATCACCCTGCAGCCCAAGACCTTTTACTCACTGAAGCTAAGCAGGGCTGAGCCTGGTCAGTACTTGGATGGGAGACCACTAGACCACTTATTTAGTCTGTGTGAGTCTTAATGCCCCAGTAAAAGTGAAGGGGACACTACACTGTCAGTGGGCGCCGTCTTTCGGATGAGACTTAAAATCGAGGTCCTGACTCTCTGTGTTAATTAAAAATCCCATGGCACTTCTCGTAAAATAGCAGGGGTGTAACCCCGGTGTCCTGGCCAAAGTCCCTCTATATCGGTCCTTACGATCATGGCCTCCCAATCACTCCCATCCACTGAATTGGTTCTATCACTGTCACTTCACTCCACCAATAGCTGGTGTGTCGTGAGCGCACTGGCGCCGTTGTCCTGTGGCAGCCATCGCATCATCCAAGTGGATGCTGCACACTAGTGGTGGTGTGGAGAGACCCCCCCCTCTCATGATTGTGAAGCGCTTTGGGTGTACGGCCATACACAATAAATGCGCTATATAAAGTCACATTACATTACATTACATTACATTACATGGGCCATGAAGGTCATCAGTTCACTGACCTTTACCGATGTTCACAGAAAGTAAACACAGATATAGGGACACTGGCATACCGGTCAACACTCCCGTTTTTTCAGGGAGTCTCCCAAATTTCAGACCCATCTCCCGCTACCCTCCAACCCACCCCCCGATCCGATCTCAACAACTTCACCACGGTTCAAAGAGTGGAAACACAGATATAGAGACACTGGCATACCTGCCAACACACCCGTTTTTCCTGGGAGCCTCCTGTATTCCAGACCTATTTCCTGCCACCCTCCCGTTTTGTTATTTCTCCTGGAAAACGGTCCTCAGCTTTTTGGTACAGTCTGTAACATCCCCTAATCGCAGACTTTGGTACTGTATCAGGTCAAAGCAGCTGCCCGAAACCGGGTTACTTGTGTTATTCAGACACCTCACTCCTGACACCCAGACATTCCCACCACTACCGCTCACACAAACCCAACACCCCAGCCACCCTCCACCCCACCCTGATGCGATCGCAACAACTTCACTGCTGTTCACAGAGTCTAAACACCGATATAGGGATACTGGCATACCTGGCAACACTTTGATTTACATTTAATTTGCACCTTTTGCGGTTTTGGCTGAGCACCCAATTAAGAGAGATGTGCGTGCTTTTGTACAGTTTTTTCATACCTGGCAACACTCCCATTTTTTCTGGGAATCTCCCGTATTCCAGACCCATCTCCCGCCACCCTCCCGTTGTGTTATTTTTTCCTGGAAATCCTTAGCTTTTTGGTACAGTCTGTAACATCACGGAATCGCCGACTTTGGTATAGTATCTGATCACAGTGGCTACCCGAAACCCGGTTATTTGTGTTATTCAGATACCTCACTCCCGACACATAGACATCCCCACCATTACCGCTCACACAACCCTTTGGTACTTCAAAATATCTTTGTGTGTTTGTGTGTGCTCAACAGAAGAAAAAAGTCATAAAGACTTAAAACCACATGAGGGGTAAGTGAAAAAATATTGTGCATTTAAGAATTAAGCTTTACGTAAGTGAGTGGGCTTGACAAACCACCTGTAAAAACATTCTTCTCTCTACAAAAAAAAAAAAAAAACACTTCCCCCTTCTAACACTTAATTCTCTACGCACAAACAGTTCCTTGGTATAATTAGCACTTCTTGTGTGTATTGCCACTTCTTACTGAATCGCTAAATGCCTCCTCAATTTTAAGTCGCTTTGGACAAAAGCGTCTGCTAAATGAATAAATGTATTGTAATTTTATTTTTTTGGGTGAACTAGCCCTTTAAATTACTATTTTTTTTAAGAAATCAAATGTTCAAGACCTCTGATTGGTTCATCTTTTAGGTTTGCTTGACTCCAAAAATTGCTGCCCTTTTTTCGTTTTTCCACATTGTAGCCAATGATACTGCCTCCTACAGTGTTGGAGGGAGGAAGCCAGGCCAAATTAACACAGTCTTTAAAGGCACTGACCACTTTAGGAGGAGCAGGAGAGCCAGGGAATGCTGGGAATAAATAGAACATGCCTTATTATTAAATTAAAAACACATTTCCTTTTTCTGAAGACTAAGAAAACATAGACGGACTTGAGGAATCTCACCCAAAGTGCCCGCAGCTATGTCATTAGTTGTCATGATGTCACTGAGGCCCTCTGAGTTTTTTGCGCGGATTCTGTAGCAGTACTTTCGACCACGTTCAGTGTTCGTGTCTCTGTAGACAGGCTGTCCAGGAATGTCTCCAATTTTAGTCCAGGTGTTCCGTCCCAGCTGTTGACGCTCCAGGTTGTAATTAGTGACAGGGCAACCCCCATCATCCTTCGGGGATCTCCATTTAAACTCGATAGCAGACAAGGAGCTTTCTACAATTTCCACAGGTCCTTGTGGTGGACTTGGCCTGTCTGTAAAAACAAATATAGTTAGTTATGTGCTACAACAGTTGACTACTCATCCAACCACCAAATAATTAATGCCACATTTTTTTCTTTTAATTGTAATTTGATATTTTTAGTAGGGATGTTCAGATCCAATCACATGGTTTCAGACTTGGATCCGGACGTTACCTCCTGATCAAAACTTATATATATATTCTCATTATTTTTAACTCCAGGGGAAAAAACCTGTTCGGGACATCCCTAATTTTTAGGCAGTTCACACTTGACAGGTTTGATTTGATTAAAATGATATATGGTGCAATTGGTGTGAACTGAAAACTTTATGGAGGCAGAGAGAGCTTAATGCGCTGCCATTTTAGCACATACAATTATAAAACACCAGCAAATTACCCAGGTATGAAAGAATTCTGGCCCAGATTTGGCATAAAGCAGATGTAAAATGTAGTATTTGGCCCATATGTTAAAAGTTAATATGTGGGCCACGTAAGTTTGGCCTATCTTGACTCACACTTAAAATACATTAAAATAATTTTTGAGTAAAAAAAAAATTCTAGCAATCAGGTCACTTTGAGAAAAAGCATTCCCATAGTGTTACTAAAGCACAATGTTGTCATGGTTTATCAGTTTCATTGCAATCATGACACACACTCCAGTTCAGGCCCAGCTATGAGTTAGAAACTTAGCTGAGACTTGACCCAGATATGGTCCATGTTTGGCCTATGTTTGGAAGCCAGACTTGATCCAGTCATGTACCATAATTCACTGCAGTATGTGGGCCAAGCAAAACCAGATTGTGTGGGCCAAAGCTGGGCCAGAGAATTTTTGCTATGTGGGTAAGAAAAGATCTTCATTGGTTTGACAGCATATGTGTTGGAAATTCTCATGCAAATAGCGTGGAACGCAACGGAAATGTTTCGAAGGGGCCCAAAAATTTGACTGAACGGGTATTTGGGTTATAGTTTTTGAAGTTAATAATATATGAAAGACAAGGGAATTGTGTAATCAGGATGTTAAAATAAAAAAAAATTAAAAACTCCCCTTTGAAAGATCACCTACAACCGCACCGAGCATAAGTCACGGCACAGTAAACAAATCCCAGCCCGGTCCGTTATGTTTTTGGGTCCCCTTGAAACACTTCTGTATTGTGCTATTTGCATGTGTTGTGATACTCCTAATTGGGTTGCATTGTGAGAAAATGCAGTGTGTATGCTGTCAAACCGATGCAGATCTTTTCTTATTGCCGATGTTTTTTGTAATTGCATGTCCTTTCTTATATTGTAAACTCAAACAATAAAGGTGTTTATCTCTCTATACACTATTATTTTAGTAAGTTTGTTTGTAAGTTGGGCAGCACAATGGTTTAATGGTTAGCACTGTCGCTTCACAGCAAGGAGGACACTATTTCGTATCCCGGCTGGGCCAGTTGGCATTTCTGTGTGGAGTTTGCAAATTCTCCCCGTGTTCATCTGGGTTTCCCCCACAGTCTAAAGACATGCGCTATAGGTGAATTTAATATACAAATTGGCCATAGTGTATGAGTGTGTATAAATGTGAGAATGTATGGGTGTTTCCTAGTACTGGGTTGTAATTGAAAGGGCATCCGTTGCATAAATCATATGCTGGAATAGTTGGCAGGTCATTCCACTGTGGGCAACCCTTAATATATAAGGGACTAAGCCGAATAAAATTGAATGAATGAATGTTATTATGTTCTGTTAAAAATTGATTTCATAACAGTTTTGTTGTTGCTGTTTATGCCTTAAGGTTGAAACTTTAAAATGACAGTGTGAATGCAAAGCAAAATAGGCCCAATCTATATTTTCAATATGCATATTTTATATGCATTTGAACGTGCCATCATTTATTTAGCAGGCAAACAGCTAAAGCATTGTAAGTGCTTAAAAAGCTTTGCCTCTGACTTTTCAAGGATGTATGTGGATTTAATATTCTTCTATAAGAATTTTCTTGTTTCACAAAACATTTGATGTATTTTTGTCTATGAAATTCTCTAAGCGAATAGTTTTTCTTCAGATCAGTTTTGCATAACATACCAAGTACAATGAGTTTTGATGCTGCTTCCATGGTGGCAAATTCATTTTTGACTTTGATCTTGATCTCTCCGGTGTCTTTGCGCTGACACTTAGTAAGAAGTACGCGACTGTGAGCTGAAGACTTTTCAATCCTGACTCCGTGACCCTCCAGCAGCTCTTCGTCCCCTTTAAACCACTGGATCTTGAATGGCTCTTTTCCTGAAAATGGCAGCTTGAAGGAAGCATTTTCTCCTGCTTTCACAACAATGGGTTCTGAGAATTTACCCAAGGCATCTGCATCAATTTTGGGTGGATCTGAAAGGGAAAATTATGATTAGTAATTGCTTTCCTTTAAAACACGACAGGATAGTAGAGATTTTGTTTTTTTTGGACTAAATATCCACACACCATTGTCTTATGTTTTGCATACTTATTTAATGAATATATTATACATTTTTTGCAATCTAAACATTAAAACACAAACCTACGAATAATATAATCTATAATAATATAATCTATTATCTATTACAGTTTTACTGTCAAAATTAGGCTGACATGCAAATAACATACCTACCTTCAACAGTTAATGAAGCCTCTGATTTACGTCCTTCAGCCTCAAACTTGTATTTCCCAGCATCTCCTTCTTGGCATTTATGGATGATTAGTTTGTGGTGAGCCCCATCTTTAACAACTGTAATCCCATCCTCAGACACCAGCTGATGAAAAAAAATTAATGTTTGTTATGCATATTACAAAACAAAATTGGATAAATATTATAAATGATTGTACATTCTGACCTTTTTGCCATCTTTGTACCATAATCCAGTGCTATCTTCACTGCTAAGTTTGCACCCTAACTCTGCTGATTCTCCAATGTTTACAACAGCATCTGACAAGCCTTTCAGAAAGTGGACTCCATGTTCTGGAGGAAATGTGTCAAATTATACAATCTCAGCACAGGGTAATTCATGACTTAATATTATGTGAGTTTGAGACCATCACTACCTGTGATGCAGTTAGGAACCAATTCACTGTCTCTTGCACGTTTTGTGCGCTTCTCACTTGATCCATCTCCTCTTGAACCATCTACATCTAAACCATCTCCTTTTCCATCTTTCCTAGTTCCATCTCCTCCATTGTTCATCTCTGATCCATCACCTTCATCGACATCTACCAGGATAGATCCTCCACTGCCATTTTGTTCTTCTTTCTTTGCCATCATGGCTGCCCTTTTTTCAGCCGCTTCTCGGTCGGCATGTGCCCTCCTGGCTGCCTCATCTCTTTCAGCCTGAGCTCTCCGGGCCGCTTCATCTCTTTCAGCTTGCGACCTCTTGGCTGCCTCATCTTGCTCTTCTTGAGCCTTCCTGGCAGCTTCATCCTGGTCAGCCTTTGCCTTCCTGGAGGCTTTATCTTGGTCTGCCTTGGCCCTCCTGGCGGCTTCATCTCTTTCAGCTTGGGCTCTCCTGGCATCATCTTGCTCTTTCTTGGCCTTTCTAGCCGCTTCATCTCGCTCTGCCTGTGCCCTCCTGGCTGCTTCATCCTTTTCAGCCTGTGCCCTCCTAGCTGCTTCATTCTTTTCCCTCTGCAGTCTGGCTTTATCCTCAGCTAAATGTTTTGCAAGTTCATCTGCGTCACTTGTACCACTGGCTTTAGGATCATCGGGAAACAGTAGCAGTTACAAAATACACCAAAGTCATCAGGCAAAATTAATAATAAATCTTTTTGGTCACACTTCATTTTGAGGGTCTGTTTGTTGAATAAAAGTTACATTGCTTCTACATGCCAACTAATTCTCAGTAGATTATAAGTAGACTGTTAGGTTGGGGTTAGGGCAGGGGTGGGCAAACTCGGTCCTGGAGGGCTGGTGTCCAGCACAGTTTAGCTCCAACACTAATCAAACACACCTGAACATGCTAATCAAACACACCTGAACATGCTAATCAGAGTCATCAAACACACCTGAACATGCTAATCAAACACACCTGAACATGCTAATCAGTGTCAAACACACCTGAACATGCTAATCAAACACACCAGAACATGCTAATCAAACACACCTGAACATGCTAATCAAACACACCTGAACATGCTAATCAAAGTCATCAAACACACCTGAACATGCTAATCAAACACACCTGAACATGCTAACCAGTGTCAAACACACCTGAACATGCTAATCAAACACACCAGAACATGCTAATCAAACACACCTGAACATGCTAATCAGAGTTATCAAACACACCTGAACATGCTAATCAAACATACCTGAACATGGTAATCAAACACACCTGAACATGCTAATCAAACACACCTGAGCATGCCAATCAAACACACCTGAACATGCTAATCAGAGTTATCAAACACACCTGAACATGCTAATCAAACACACCTGAACATGCTAATCAAACACACCAGAACATGCTAATCAAACACACCTGAACATGCTAATCAAACACACCTGAACATGCTAATCAGTGTCAAGATCTCTAGAAATCTATAAGCAGCTGTGTTTGATTAGAGTTGGAGCTAAACTGTGCAGGACACCGGCCCTCCAGGACAGAGTTTGCCCACCTCTGGGTTAGGGTTAGTGTAAGTTGACATGTACTTGCAAAGTTTCTTATAGTCAGTTAAAGTCTGTTGAAGGACTGTTAATTGTCAGTATCAACAGATATTAGGCAGTCTACTCAAATGGACCATCAAAATAAAGTGTTACCTTTTTTTATAGTACTAAGTTTTTTTTTTTATAATAAGATAAAAATATAATTCATATAAATGTCAGTTTGTCCGTCAGTTTCAATGCATCATTGCTAGCAATGCATCAATGAATTGTTGAAAATACAATTTATTTCCTACTGTCATTACTTAGCTAATGAATGGTAATGTATTTTGGCAGTGGTGTTAAGCAGGGATGGGCAGTATTTATGATACAAATATTTCAAAAACGTTTTTTTTTTTTTTTAATACAAATTAGTATTTTGTAATTTGTATTTCATGGTGTTCATGAAAATGAGTTAATATTTTGTATCAAAGTATTTTAGTGTCTTGTATTTTTAAAATACTGCAAAATACTTTGTAAGAAGTCTACACAACAACATCATAAAAATGTGGCCTCTGATTGGTGCTTTCTCAGGTAGTTGCCTAGGCTTGAGATCAGACCAGAAAATGCATTAATATTGAAGAAGGTGGGAAATGCTTGAAGGATGGATGGAAATTATGCAATACATAAAGAATATAACAGACAAATGGCATGGGTATATTTGGGAGCAAGTCCGCAATCATTGAAAATAGTATACTGCACAATGCAGTAATATTTAAGGGCAGTACAGTGTACAATGCATCAGCATCTTTGTTTAAGAAATGAGATGGAATAAAATATCAGTCCAAAAACAGGAGTATGGTGCCTACAGCACATGATCATTCTCAGTCTCAGTGCTGTAGGTGGGAATGCAGAGGAAGTTTAGAAATAAAAAATACCTAAAGATGTTGTACTGATGTTCACTAAGGGGTTAAACTGAGGCTCTTCTAGTTAAAGCAGAAATTAGTGGTTAGCACTGTCGCCTCACTGTAAGAAGGTCACTGGTTTGACTCCCAGCTGGGTCAGTTGACATTTCAGTGTGGAGTTTGCATATTCTCCCCATGTTGGTGTGGGTTTCCTCCAATTGCTCCTGTTTCCCCCACAGTCCAAACACATGTGGTATAATTGTATATGATGAACTAAATTGGCTGTAGTGTATGAGTGTGCGTGTGAATGTGAGAGTGGGTGTTTCTCAGTAATGGGTTGCAGCTGGAAAGGCATCCGCTGCATCAAACATATGCTGCAATAGTTGGCGGTTTATTCTGCTGTGGCGACCCCAGATAAATAAGGGACTAAGCTGAAAGAAAATGAATATATCACCCTTTTAAAATATAAGACTGTTAAGAGATGGTGTCAATTTTACTGGCCACCCAATGGATGGAAACGCAATGAAGAGATGTACAGTAGCACAGTGTTCCAACTCATTAGCTGCATTGCATTATTTTTACAGTTAAAGACATCAGACAAAACCTTCTGTATGGAATTTATACAAAATTTATACTAAAATGAAAGAGAGACAAACGTTTATGAATACCTACTCATGTACAGGGGAGAACGTGGGGAGAACATGCAAACTCCTCACAAAAATTTAATCTTAAAATTTAATCCTCCATTCCAACCTGCGACCTTCTTGCTGTGAGGCGACACTGAGCCACTGTGCTGCCTGTCTGTTAATATAAGGTATATTATAGGGAAATGTGAAATTCACCAAAGAGGCACAGTACTTAAAAAAATAAATAAACCAAAAAAGCTTACCTTCCACATCCAAAGTCCCCTGGCTTGATCTGAGACCAGCAATAGCCGAATAGACTCCCTTGTCATCTTTTGTGCAGTTTTTCACTGCTAGTTTGTGCACTTGCTGGTCTTCCGACACTGTGATAACATATTTATCTCCATTCTCTACAGAGACATCATTGACGCACCAGGTGATTTGTGGGACAGGGTCCAATAAGGCACACTCAAACACTGCATCCTGCCCTTCTGCCACTTTCGTGTCTTTGAGAGTCCTGCTAAACTCCACGTCAGGCACTGAAGGTAAAAACAATTCAACAGTCTATCAAAAGAATTGAGTTTGAGTCAAATATCAAGCACAAATACCTCATCAACCAGTGATTGATACACTGTAAAACATTTCATGACAACAAGTCAACGCAACAAATATTTTTATCAGGTTTCAACTATATTATTTAATTAAATTCATTTTTTAGTCAGATTTACTGATGTAAGTTGACTCAAAGAGTTAATTTGATTTAACTAAAAAGTCAGCAAGATTTTTTTACAGTGTAATGTATTGCAAATGTTGCTTAAATACATTTTTACTGGCCAGTTTTGTGCCATTTAGTAATTATTAGCAAATTAGTAGCTTATTCATATGACATATTTTTGCTCACACCCTTGTGAAAGAATGGGACACAATTTCACAGCACCACTTATTATAAAAATGTGTTACCATTAATGTTACACTACAATGTTAATGATCCGTAATGGACCCTTTTCACATTTCAGGGTTTCTTAATAGCGGAAGTCTGCATTAGTTAGGTCAAATTAAAGCACAGTGAATGGAAGAACACAACAAATAATTTTTTTACAATCCTATTTGCTGAAATAATAAAATAAAAACTCCACGATGGTGTTATCAAGACTTTAAGGAATAAGTCTGAAAGACTTTCACACAAAGTGTGAGACTGATAACGGCAGCCAGAAGAGAGAACAACGTTAAATATGTGGAAATTTAACCAATATTAATCATCACCTGCCAATGTGATTTGCGCATCATTTAAGTCCCCAAGAAATCAAAACTAGCCATATGTTTTTGTTAGCTCACATTGCTAGTTTTGTGGTGAACGTGCAAGTCGTATGGTGATGTGCCCGAATCAGTAGAAATCTGCTCTAATATGAAGCCAGGACTAGCGGAATTTCGATGAATTGCAGTTTTAGTTACTTCCGTATTTGCTTCATGAAGAAGGGCACGATGTTGTCGCTTGGTCACAATAATAAAAGAATAACAATCCCAGCTTCCAGTTAACGGGGACTTTAAAAACAGTAGCAAATGACATAGAATTATTAGAACTAGAATGCTTTCATTTCAGAACAGACTTCAGCAGAGCCCCAAACCATACATTTCATATAGTACAAAAAATGCATTTATATTGTCATGTAGCACAAGTGTTCAAGCATGTTAGCGAGCGCGAGAGAGAGCGCCACATTCGCCACATAAACAATAAAAACTGTTGCATACAGTACATCACATGAATAAATCACGCCATGGACATTACACTAAGATGACTACTGGTTTAAAAAAGGCCTAGATTAAAAGAAGATGGCCAAATGACAACTTTTTTTTGTCATAAATGATAGTAAAACAACTTGTCAACAAGGATAAAAAAAAATTAAACCCTGCGATCAAATTAATGGAGAAAAGGGCGCTCTATAGACACATTACAAACGCCTCGCACAAGCGGTAATTAGTTTTGTGTAATTTGATCTAAATATGATATAATGCATACATAAATACATATGAATGCACATAGGTTATTAATTTTTTAATAATATAAAAAACTAAGATGCTGATGACTGTTAAACATACAGTATCATAACAGGCTTGTGAAAAAGGGTCCATCATCTTTAAAAACCCAACTGGTATTACTTACATGCTAGAGAAGTTGAGAACATGTTTGCATCTTCTACATCCACTTGATACAAGCCAGCATCCTCTGGGCCAACATCTCTAATGCTGAACAAATATGTTTCACCAAATTGTTGCATATTATGTTTTGCAGTATCATCCGTTCCATCTCCATAGTCAAGCATTTCCCCGTCCTGTGAAAAGCTAACACGTTTAAGTACATTAAAGGATTTCTGATGACGCTGAGGCGTTCAAGTGAAAGCACTTACTTTGTAGAGTAAGATTTTGCTGTTAGGATCCTTTAGCTTCATATCTAGCTCAAATTCTGCTGTGCCGTCAGTTTTCACCTCAATCTGTTTCATGCTGTGGACTTTCTCCACATACTTGAAGACAGAAAATTCAGCAGAGTTTATTTTCATATTGTGTACAGTATATTTATAATCAACGGTGAACAGATAAGTTTAACTTATAGTAAAAGAGACCTTGGACTGCTCTGCCTCTCTTTCCTTCCTCTTCTGGTTTAGTTTTCTCAGCATCCACCTGAAGTCAGTGACTCCATATTCGTGACAAATACGTTCATAATCTTTCCTGGCAGCGCTCAGCAACACCTCCCAAAACCTTGGATCAATTTCCCCCTCTTTACATTGTTCTTGTTTCCTCTTGACAACCCTAAAATTAATAAAGTGCTGCAACAGATCAGACTGCTTGTTTTGGTTAGCATTAAAATTACCTTTCTAAAAAGACTTTTCAGGTAAACATTCATTCATTTTCAGCTTAGTCCCTTTATTAATCTGGGGTCTCCACAGAGGAATGAACTGCCAACTTATCCACCACGTTTTTAAGCAGGGATGCCCTTCCAGCCGCAACCCATCTCTGGGAAACATCCACAAACACTCATTCACACTCATACACTATGGACAATTTAGCTTACCCAATTCACCTGTACTGCATGTCTTTGGACTGTGGGGGAAACTGGAGCACCCAGAGGAAACCCACGCAAACGCAGGGAGAACATGCAAACTCCACACAGAAACGCCAACTGACCCAGCCGAGGCTCGAACCAGCGACCTTCTTGCTGTGAGGCGACAGCACTACTTACTGCGCCACTGCATCGCCTCAGGTAACCATACTCTTTTCAATTGATTTCCTTTTGGTATTTTTACATAGCTATAGTTATATTTATGATGTTTAATACACATTTTTTTGTGCTTTATATCTGTTTTACCCATTATCTTTATCAGCAATACTCTGTTATATAAAGCTGTTTTCTCATTTCGAAGACTTAACTAATAAACCCTGGACCACAAAACCATTTCTTATGTTGTACAGTTGCATTTTTAGGGATAGAAAACAATACATTGCATAGTTCAAAATTATAATTTTAAATTTATTTTTTTTGTGGCAACAATAATTGGTCTGATAAGTAAAGACCATGTTCCATAAAGATATTTTGAACATTTTCCACAGTAAATGTATACACTGTAAAAAATTATGATTAACTAGTCATGACAGTATGAGTTTTTAGTTCATTGTAACTTATTAAACAAAGTTATTCATGTTCTAACCTAATTGTACGAGTTACACAAGCTGTTTTAAGTCAGTTTAACATAATATAAGTTCAATAGGCTCATAAGGTTAATCTGATTCAGCTTAAAAATGTAAGGCAACCAGATTTTTTACAGTGTAGAAACTTACATTTTGATTAGTAATATTCATTGATAAGAACTTACTTCAGTCAACTTTAACAGTGATTTTTCTCAATATATATATATATATATATATATATATATATATATATATATATATATATATATATATATATATATATATATATATATATATATATATAAATTTTTTTTTGTACCCTCAGATTCTAAAATAGTTGCATCTCAGCCTAATATTTTCTTATCCTACCAGTCAAGGGAAAGCATATTTATTTACATCTCAGATGTATAATAATTGACACTTAAGACTGGTTTTGTGGTCCAGAGACACAAATTTTGTACCCCAATGCACATGCAATGACTTATTTTCTCCTTTTTATGGGTAATTAAAGCAAAAATATCCAAAATTTTCTATGTCCATATATACGAAACATAATAACTGTAACAACTAACCCTGATCTGCCTTTTTTCATTTCTCTTTTGCTGATTATTTGATATGCATTGCACCATATAAAAGAAAATCTATATGGAGTGATGTTTTACGTTTTCTTCAGCATTTTTCGGAACTCATCTGGGTCACTTTTGGGGGCTGAAAAACAAATTAGACATATTTAAGGTCATTTTGACACTTTGAGTACTCTTTGATAGAAAACTGATTTTCTAATATTATCATACTGTTTATGTAATTTCAAGCATCATTAGCTCTGAGCCACATACTGTACATACCTGGCTTCCTTTTCTTGAATCCAACTGAAAAGATGAAAAAAGATTTGAATTAGTCGTAAATGTGAAATGGAAATTTTTTATTATATAAAATATACAGTAGAAGATTAACAGAACATTATGCTGGAATTACCATGATGATTTTCTTACCCTCAATGACATTCAGTGCAGCAGTGCAAATAGCTTTTCCAAACGGATTTATAGCAAAACACTTGTATGTGTCTGCTTGATCTGAATCTACATTTGGTATCTGTAAAAGATAAAACACCAAATGCTGTTAGGCAAAGTAAAAATAGAAATGATGTGGATTATAAGTAAATTATAAGGAATATATTATTTTTTTTAATCTTTTTATGGACAACCTGGGTGTATTAATAGTTGTGGTGTGACTTAAACATCAAAAATAAAATTAAACAGCTTATAACATTATACTTCAGCTGAAAATTGCATTTCACCTCCAAAATATATTCTTCATTCTTATCATCAAATCGTGTAACGTATTTGGTTGAATTAGAGATGTCTTCCTTGTTTCGTCCCCATGTAACTTCTGGAACTGGACATCCATTAACAACAGCTTTGAAAAAGGCCAGTTTGCCTATAAAATATATTACAGTCAAGGATAGATAGATAGATAGATAGATAGATAGATAGATAGATAGATAGATAGATAGATAGATAGATAGATAGATAGATAGATAGATAGATAGATAGATGGATGGATGGATGGATGGATGGATGGATGGATGGGTGGAAGGGTGGACAGATAGATAGATAGATAGATAGATAGATAGATAGATAGATAGATAGATAGATAGATAGATAGATAGATAGATAGATAGTTAGATAGATAGATAGATAGATAGATAGATAGATAGATAGATAGATAGATAGATAGATAGATAGATAGATAGATAGACAGACAGACAGACAGACAGACGGACGGACGGACGGACGGACGGACGGACGGACGGACGGACGGACGGACGGACAGACAGATAGATAGATAGATATATAGATGGGTGGGTGGGTGGATGGATGGGTGGCTGGGAAGATAGATAGATGGATGGATGGATGGATGGATGGATGGATGGATGGATGGATGGATGGATGGATGGATGGATGGATGGATGGATGGATGGATGGATAGATAGATAGATAGATAGATAGATAGATAGATAGATAGATAGATAGATAGATAGATAGATAGATAGATAGATAGATAGATAGATAGATAGATAGATAGATAGATAGATAGATAGATGGGTGGGTGGGTGGGTGGGTGGGTGGATGGATGGATGGATGGGTGGCTGGGAAGATAGATAGATAGATAGATAGATAGATAGATAGATAGATAGATAGATAGATGGATGGATGGATGGATGGATGGATGGATGGATGGATGGATGGATGGATAGATAGATAGAACAATGAGATATGTAGAAAGATAGATACATAGGTAAACAGACAGACAGGCAAGCAGGTAGGAAGACAGAAAAATTATATATATATTATTTTTAAAAATTATAAATATACATATATATATATATATATATATATATATATAGGCCTATATATATATATATATATATATATATATATATGTTTGTGTGTGTGTGTTTGTGTGTAGAAAGAAAGAAAGAAAGAAAATGATTACCTTCCTGAATAGTTAATGCTATGGGTTTTCTGATGAAATCAGGCGTAGTACATCCAGGCGGAAGTTCCTCGACATACTGTGTGACCATAACACCAGGCACTTTGGATCTCTTCCTAATTGCCACTAAAATATCGGAAAACTGTTTTCAAAAACTACCCTGGGTCAAGGCAGTCAAGCATGAACAGGCATTTTAAAGAATTTCACATTAATGAATGGGCATGGCATGCTTGCTTGGTGTTGCATGATCTTCAGCGTTTGAAGCTGTGAATTTGTTGTTGACCACATGATGGCGATGTTTTATCACAGCCTTGATCATGAAAACAGTCCTCACTGATCCTGACATCTACTAAAGTGATAAGACCGTGGGTGATGGAATGATGCAAAGCTAAAATAAATACCTCTGAGAATTCTGTCAGTTGTCATGTCATGGTTGACATTTTGTTTACTTACCGCCTGTTTTTCCTGCTGGATTTGGCATCTTCAAAATGCTAGATTTGCCTTTTGTGCACAATTTGTAAATGTTGCAGTGTCTTGAAAAAAACAAGAAGATACGAGAAATAATATACAGTTATTACAATTAATAGGAGAAGCGCAAGTTAAAGTGGAACATTTGAGCTTAATCCCCTTTAAAGTCTGTGTTAATCATAAATTAATACAACTTTTATTTCAGTGTGTTGATGCACTTAATATGCAACTGAAAATGATTGTTGACTATGGGGCGGTGCTTTTTTCCCCACACATCATTCACCTTATAGCAAATTAACGGTAAGAGGGGTGTAGTTAAGAATGTTATGGCCAAAGTCAACACTTTAATAAAAAAAAAAAATAAATAATAAAAAAATAATAAAACAACATCAACACCACAACAAATAAAACAGAATGGCACGAAATGGTTTCTTTAGTTCTGACATAAATAGATAGATACATTATATATATATATATATATATATATATATATATATATATATATATATACACACATACAAACACACACATATATACAGTTGAAGTCAGAATTATTAGCCCCTCTTTGATTTTTTTTATATATATTTTTTCTTTTCATTTTATTTATTTATTATACCCCCACCCCCCTCCCCTGCGTTCTCTTGAAACTGGGGTATCCAATAAATAGAAGTTAATATAAAACCAAAAACAGAATACAGTATAAAGTATCATCTATACAAAGTAAGGCAATCATTCTGGATCCTGATCGTTGCTTTGTGCAATAAACAGGGAGATTTTGTCAGCAGCTGAAGTCCAGATCTTTAATGTACTCATTTGTAACAGGTTCACTCGAGCTGTGGATAATTCCAACATTATAATGTCCTGAAGTTGTGCCAACCACCTGTACATGTCCAAATTATGTGGAGGCAGCCAATGTTGGGCTTGTATTTTTTCAGCATACGGTAAGCCAGCCAGCCAAACTGCTTTTTGTAGCTTGGTGAGGTTCAACGTAAGATCATCGCTCAGTAAAAGAATGGAAGGATTCACTGGTACAGGATATTCAATAATTTTGGATAAGATAGCACAGACAATTTTTTTTCTTTTCTTATTTTTTATATATATTTTAAATGATGTTTAACAGAGCAAGGACATTTTCGGAGTATGTCTGATAATATTTCTGAGAGAAAGTCTCTGGAGAAAGTCTTGTTTTATTTTGGCTAAAATAAAAGCAGTTTTTAATATTTAAAAAAATGTTTTAAGGTCAAAATTATTAAGCCCTTTAAGCTATTTTTTTCAATAGTCTACAGAACAAACCATTGTTATACAATAACTTGCCTAATTACCCTAAGCTGCCTAGTTAACCTAATTAACCTAGTCAAGCCTTTAAATGTCACTTTAAGCTAGAAGCTATAGAAGTGTCTTTAAAATATCTAGTCTGACTTTAACTGTCTATATATATTGTCACCTTTGAATTATTTCATTTTTGTCAAAGTTGAGTTATTGACATATTCTTATTAAATGACAATCATTAACATTATGGGATGTTTTTTTTTACAAGTTGTTTACATTTTAAGATTTTTTATTTAAAAAACAAATGTTACACACATACTGTTTGCTATGGAATGCAAAAATTTTAAAGCTCATTATCTCAAAATCATTCAGAATGCAGATAGAACTTTATAATTCCAATGTGACACTATATATATATATATATATATATATATATATATATATATATATATATATATATATATATATATATATATATATATATATATATATAATATATATATATATATATATATATATTGATGTATGTATGGATAGACACTGTAGATAACCTCAATCAAGTCTGGTTTGTGGCCCTTTATTAGAAAAAGTTTGGGCACCCCTTAAATTGATATTTTAAACTCAGTTATTTATTTTCTTGTTAGTCAAGAACTCCTGAAAGTGCCGATGAAGGGCTGATATGTGGAATATGAAACACCATCAGACAGCTATATGTCCCTACCTCGTGGAAATCAACCGCTGTGCCATAAAAGCACCCTTAACAAGTTAATAAAACTCAAGTAGTGCATCCTCTGACTTTGTAAACTATATGCTCTTACATGTTTCTTAAAGGGATAGTTCACCCAAAAATTAAAATGACCTCATCTTTTACTCTCTCATGTGGTTTTAAACCTTTATGGATTTCTTTCTTTTGTTAAATTTATTATTTATTTTGTTTGTTCGGACAATGTTTGAACAATTCTAGATGCTGACACACATCGACTTCCACAGTAATGGAATTTAAATTCATTGGGTGGCATTTTTCAAAATATCTTATTCTGTGTTCAACAGAAGAAAGAAAGTCAATTATGTTTTAAATAAATGAAGGGTTTGTAAAAGATGGGAGAATTTAGATTTTGGGGTCATCTATAAGCACATGAATATAATTCATTTTCTAATGTCAATAGGTAAAAAAACTGTACCAGTTGTTAAATCAATGAACCAAAGATATATTAAGAGGTGATATTATACATTTTGCATGCAAAGTAACATAAGACTGACATAATATCTTTTTAACAGCACACTGATGTTCACGAGATCACACGGGATCTTTACCAATGAGTTTACAAGCGCAGTGCTAGTATTTACCCCTTCACTCTTGATAGGTCACATACCTCATAAAGTTTTCAGCGATGTGCTACCAGAGCAATAACACTGTAGTCTAGGAGTGTAATTTGTATCTAAAATACTAATAAAGTAATGTATAATTAACGGTCATGTATAATTTAGAACCACTATGTACTGTTAGTATTTACAAGTAAATAGTACTTTGACTGGTAACATGTTCTGCATGTATTAAAAGTTAGAAAATATTGAAAATTTCAAACTATTATAGACCTTTTGTTATCAAATGTAAGATGTTTTTTTTTTTAAATCTGATATCTTTATCAGTTATGCATATAAAAGAAAGCACTTTAAAATTGTTCAACAGTATTCAAAAGACTTTCCAGCATCACAGCAAGACCATCTTGATTTAGAATCATATCCATTGAGTATCTTCCCACATACCAAGCCGCAACTGAAATCCATTTTTAAAATATTATTTACTGCTAATATTTGCTGCATACTGTAGTATTATAAATTTTAACACTTTTATCTTAAAAAGAAAGTATTAAAAGAAAGAGGCAAAAGCAACTCACCTTCACGTGTAGCTAACTTGCTCTGTCAAACACAACCGTGTTCGACTCCCACAATTTATTGCAGTCTCTCTATTTTGTTCAGCAATAAAACAGCAGTGGGCCAAATTGAAACCTCTCAAGCACTACAGTCTTATTAGCTGTCACATTAAATCTGTTATTTTGGTGAGCTTTACAACAGCAAAGGGATGGGGACCATGGTCAAACTTATTCTGTAAATAGGGAAAGTGACATTCAAGTTGCGCTGATGATGATTGTTTTGCCAGGAAGATGTAACATCACCTCATTTATACTTTATTGCAGTATTTGATCTGGTTGTTAGTTACAACATCTAACAACCACGTGTAATGACCTTACATTAGGCTCTGTAAAATTAGAAATAAGTGATGTTGGAATACAGCGCGCATCTTAGCAATCTAACATATTTTGTCTGGCAATGTTCCTTCTGATATGAGAGTCTATGTTACGTTCCTGTGTTATTTATAGCACAATGACATACTAAATCGATTGATAATGTTGTAGGTATGTAGCAGGTGACATTTCACATGCTGGTTTACATGCCCAGACAGAGCAGCCTAATGTGTGTAGTGGACACATTATTTGGGCCTGATAAAACACATTCATTCATTCACTTTCCTTCAGCTTAGTCTCCATTTCAGAGGTCGCCACAGCGGAATAAACCATCAACTATTCCAGCATATGTTTAACGCAGCAGATGCCCTTCCAGCCACAACCCAAGCCAAGTACTGGGAAACACCCATACACACTCATTCACACACTCATATGCTATGGCCGTTTTAGTTTATTCAATTCACCTGTAGCACATGTCCTTGGACTGTAGGGGAAACCGGAGCACACGGAAACACAGAAATGCCAACTGGCCTAGCTGGGACTTAAACCAGTGACCTTTTTACTGTAAGGCGACAGTGCTAACCACTGAGCCACCATGCCACCCCAATAAAACCCATATGACATATTTTATAGCCCAAAATGAGCTAGCATTTAGAACTTAGATAGGCAGTCAATGTTGTCAATAAGGCATGGCAAGGCAAGGCAAGTTTATTTATATAGCACATTTTATACACAGTGGCAATTCAAAGTGCTTTACATAAACAGGAATAAAAAAGACAAGTTTAGGAACATAAAATGCAGACAATAAAAATTATTAAAAACAGATAAAAACAAATTAAATTGAGTTAAAATAGGCTATAAAAGAATGAAAAAGAAAATGAAAAACATAAAAGTGCGATCTGTCGGACGTAGCACAGTGCTCATACAGTAAAGGCACAGCTAAACAGATGTGTTTTCAGTCTTGATTTGAATGTGCCTAATGTTGGAGCACATCTGATCATTTCTGGAAGCTGATTCCAGCAGCGAGGAGCATAGTGGCTGAAGGCAGATTCACCCTGCTTTGACTGAACTCTTAGAATTTCTAGTTTATATTATCCTAAAGATCTGAGTGATCTGTTGGGTTTGTATTCAACTGAAATAACTCAGGAACTCGTCATGACATAAATAACAAAATATAACAGAAATTGGTAACGCCAAATAGTGGTTTGTTTTTAATTTAAAAAAGTTTTTACCAAAAAAAGAAGACTTGCTTTGTGGTTGTATTTAGGCTTCATAAATGCGTTGGATTCTCATGAACAAATAATACACTACTGTTGGCTGACGACCTTATTTTCTGCAAAAGTCCAAAATTAATTGAAACTCCTAAGGAAATCCCAGTTGGAAAAAGAAAGAAATTTGTATGATTTTAATGGTTATATTAGACTTTGATGGGTAACCATTTTAATGCACAGGTTTTTATTTTTATTTTTTTGTCCAAAAACACCGTAGAAACCATTTAAATTAGGACTATTGGAAGAATCTGACATTGCGATATTTTGTTTTTCTTTGATATATATGAATACACTTTCACCAGAGGGCTTGAATAGCTCTAGATAGAAAGAAATCATTAATTGGGATTGATTGTTTGTCTAAGAGTGTGAATCATGTATAAAAAATAAGAAACAAACTGCAAGCAAAAATAATTGCAATAGAGCAATGAAAAAATAAACAGTGTTCAATGGTTTTCCGGAGAGTAAAACATTGGTATTCAGGTATAGAAGTGTATTAATGAAATGTAAAATCCCACTGTATAGACTTAATTTTATTAATTCAATAAAATAATTCCTCATTAAAATTACAAATCTACTATTTTGTTCCAGAATGCCTTAAACTCCCTTGAAATGCCTGTAAAAACACATGTAAATTGTAAACTGTCACGGTTATACTTTGTCATGACTCAACAAAATGTCATGTATACTTAATTTTTGTGATGATCAAATATAATCACAACTAACATTGCATATCTTGAGATGTGACTATTGCAGACACACACTTTGCGATATCGACGCTGAAATGATTTATTGTGCAGCCCTAATTAAAATCTACAGTTTTAATGGTTACTATTTGGTGTGTGTGAGTATGTCTGTGTATGAATTTACCACATTTTAGAGGAAAACAGTAAATCTTCTTGTGTCTGTGATGGTTTCCCTTATTTTCATTCTTAGTCTTCTTCATGCAAGAATGTTAACCTCTGATTAAGCTACAAAGACACTTGATCATTAATGCAGAGCAAAATCAGGGGAGCTGGTTTGTATATAGACTATAAAAGTTTATGATGAGGAGATCAGATAGTATAGCTTTATGATTGTCATGATAAAAGCAGTTTTACATATCTCTTTGGACTATTATCGTTAATCTTCCTGAAACATACCTTCTCCTCCTCGTCTTGGTTTTACGTGCTCTGCTGACGATGTACTACTAAAATCTTTATGGCGCAAGGATTTCAAAGCGCATGCGCGGTTCTTAAATTTGATTCAAGCGCGGTAAATCTAAAAGCACGCGCGAGCTCTTGGCAAATGTTTTTGCGACTCGACAAACATTCTGTTTCTTTACGATAAATACCAGTGTTGAGTACGACGTGAAGTGTTTGTACAGTCATAGGATCGTCAAGACAGTGTTGGTTTCAGGTGAGTTTTTATATCTTAATATCTAGGTTTGCTTTTGTAAGTAGCCTAATGTTGCTGAGGTGTGTTTGTGGCGACGCTGATGTCATGGGTTTGTCTCGACACATAAACTCGAGATAATTAGTGGCCAGAATATTCTAAAAGTCTCTTTTGGAAAAAAATAAAAAATAATAATAAAATAAAACAAACAACAACAAAAAAACTAGACCTTTAAATAACAATCTACAAATAAATCTCTTTTAGTCCCTCCTATTCCCGTCTGGATCAGTTGGCATTTCTGTGAGGAGTTTGCATGTTCTCCCCTTGTTGGCGTGGGTTTCCTCCAGGTGCTCCGGTTTCCCCCTCAGTCCAAAGATATGCCCTATAAGTGATTTGAATAAACTAAATTGGCTAAAAATGTGTGTGAATGAGTGTGTATAAATGTTTTCCAGTACTGGGTTGTAGCTGGAAGGGCATCAAGTTGGCGGTTCATTCTGCTGTGGATGTATAAAGGGACTAAACTGAAGGAAAATGAAGTCTCTCCTATGAGTAATTTATTTAGCTCAGTGCAGCCTATATAAACCATTAGCATGTTGTATTTGTCTGTTCAGTTTTACAGTAATGTTATTAAATAGTGTATTTTAAAAATCTTAGACTACTAAAGTTATATTTTAGGTTCTGTTAACATGATATATCTGGGTTATGCACTACATATCTGCCTCTTGATCGTGGTTTCAGTCTCTAGGAAGTCAGGGATGCCTGCTGACATTAGAGCTGGTTATGCAAGGGACCATGCTGGGACTGGAACTATTCATGTTGCAATTTGAAACAATTCCATGTTCTCACAATATAAACCTAAATGTCACTGTACATCTGAGTGCTGCATGTCTTGTTGGAATTTTATCATTTTATTCAGAAGAATAAGGCCTGACCATGTGTGCGATTAAATGTCTGTGAAGCTCTTTCAACCATGTCCAAGAAGAACATCCAGTAGAGTTCAATTGGCTCATAACTTTATTGAAGATGCCATGAAAAGTCTGAAATAATAATGCTTAAAAGGATGCACATAATAATATGTTTATTTGTATATTGTAATTTTCACACACATTACAATTATTTGTCTTATTTTTTTTAAGTTCTACACATCACATAGTGTATAGTAGCACATTATCTATGTCCTCAGTTGCAACCCCCCACAGTTGTCTTCATTTATATTCATGCACTTACTGCCCTTACTTAAAATTTATGCATGAAATTAGTTGTGGCAGAAGCTGGCACATCCAACAGAGAGAAGATCAATCTGAAACGTAGAACAGAGGGGAAAAAATAATAACTAGTCTTTACAAACAAGATATGCTGATATATACTTGTTTTTGTGTTAAATTTGAACACCTAAATAGAACAAAATACGTTTGTCAAAAATATTAAAGCAATCTTATTTGCATTAAATGTTAAATATACATTCACCGGCCACATTAATAGGTACACCTGTCCAACTGCTTGTTAATGCAAATTTCTAATCAGCCAATCACATGCTCATGCAAGCAACATGCACATACAAGCAACTCAATGCATTTAAGCATGTAGACATGATCAAGATGATCTGCTGCAGTTCAAACTGAGCATAAGAATGGGAAATAAAAGTGATTTAGGTGACTTTGAACATGGCATGGTTGTTGGTGCCAGACAGGCTAGTCTGAGTATTTCAGAAACTGCTGATCTTCTGAGATTTTCACGCACTGTCATCTCTAGGGTTTACAGAGAATGGCCCCGAAAAAGAGAAAATATCCAGTGAGTGGCAGTTCTTTGGGCACAACTGCTTTGTTGATGCCAGAGGTCAGAGGAGAATGGCCAAACTGGTTCGAACTGATAGAAAGGCAACAGTGACTCAAATAACCACTTGTTAAAACCGAGGTATGCAGAAGAGCATCTCTAAATGCACAACACGTCCAACCTTGAGGCGGATGGGCTACAGCAGCAGAAGACCACACCGGGTGCCATTTCTCAGCTAAGAACACAACTTTCACAACACAACTGCTAAGAACAGGAAACTGAGGCTGCAATTCACACAGGCTTACAAGAATTAGACAATAGAAGATTGGAAAAATGTTGCCTTGTGTGATGGGTTTCGATTTCTGCTGCGAAACTCGGATGGTATGGTCAGAATTTGGCATCAACAACATGAAAGCATGGATTCAACTGTCTTGTATCAACTGTTTATATTTTTTTGGCACACTTTGGCTCTATTAGTACCAACTGAGCATCGTGACACAGAACACCACAGCCTACCTAAGTATTGTTGCTGACCATGTCCATCCCTTTATGACCACAGTGTACCCATCTTCTAAAGGCTACTTCAAGCAGGATAAGGCACCATGTCATAAAGTGTGAATCCTCTCTAATTGGTTTCTTGAACATGACAATGAGTTCACTGTACTCAAATGGCCTCCACAGTTACCAGAGCTTAATCCAATAGAGCACCTTTGAGAGGTGGTGGAACGAAAGATTTGCGTCATGGATGTGCAGCTGACAAATCTGCAACAACTGTGATGCTGTCTTATAAATATGGGCCAAAATCTCTTAGCAATATTCCAGTCTCTTGTTGAATCTATGCCAGGGAGGATCTAAGGATTAAGGCAGTTCTGAAGGCAAAAGGGGGTCCAACCCGATACTAGTAAGGTGTACCTTATAAAGTGGCCAGTGAGTGTATATTATACTGTACAATGCATTGGCATGAGTTTCAGTTATTTACAACTTTAATTATCAGGACTGAAACATACACAAGTTTCAATGTACTCAAGCATAATTTTGTGTTGCTTCATTTAAAAAAAAAAAAGACACAGAAAGTCGCAGTGAATGCACACATACAGTACACAGCATTCTTAGCTTAATTAAAAGGTGCATACAGCAGACAGTAGTTTAATATATGTCTTCTTCAATTAGTTTTAGTTCTCTATTTTTAATTGCAGACTGCTGAGTGCTTCTGAACTCACCATAGAGATTTGTACAGAAAGCGCTCTAATGCATCAAGCGGTGCAGCTAATTTGTCTAAATCAATCTGTGACTGCATAAAAATGATTGACGGTCCATATTTGCCCTCCGGGTCACTTTTTGACAGGCTCTGGCACGGACTGTAGACCAATCTAGCCATTTGCATTACGTAATCATGTTCCAAATTATTAGCAACGTGACTCATTTACAAAGGACAAACCAGCATGCAAATCAGGTGACTGTGGTAAATGTTTTTCAAGCCTAGAAACGATCACCGCAGCTGTCATACCTTTCACTTTTAATGTCGAAGAACACTCTGCTCTGCCAAGTGAGTTGACCGCCACCACTTTGTACTCGCCACTGTCTTCAGGCCGGACTCTGAGGATGTACATTGAGCAGACGCCAAATGCATTTGTGATGTAGTAGTTGTTGTCGGAGTTGATGCAAATCCCATTATGGTACCATGCAATATATGGGCTGGGCAAACCACGTACAGCACAGGTCATGTAGCACTGGTATCCTTTTGGCGGAGAGTGGAGTTTTAGTGGAACCAGGATTGATGGTGGCTTTTCTAAATTTACCATGGTTGGCACAGTTGAGGGTGCTAGAACTAGTAGGCAGGAAGAAAAAAAGGGATGTAAATATTTCTTGTTGTGTAATACGGCAGCCTAATGGTAGCAATCTTGCGATTCACCTTTATTGCTGTTGACACCCCACGTTGGTGAATCCGAAGGATCAGAAAGTCCCATGTCATTTTTTGCATAGATTCTGAAGTGGTATTCTTGACCTGGTTGTACGGTGGTTGTGTAGGTTGTACAGAGAAGGTGGTCCGCTATTGTGCGCCAAATGCGGCTGTTGGAGTTTTGCTCTTCCACCATGTAGTGCAGTCTGTCATCTCTGTCATGGTCTGGAGATGGCAACCATCTGATAATGACTTTACCAAAAACCAGCTGTTCTAACTCCACTGGTCCTGGAGGCCTGGGTTCATCTATAAACACAAAAAGAAGAATGATTCTATAGTAGTCGTGTAACAGATCATGGTTGATCTGTGATCTGTACAGATCACAAACCAGAGTTCGGAATGCAGGTGACGCATGGAGGATAACTTGTACGTTAAACCAACATTTATAACAACTCAGGACTCGAAATTAACTTTTTTACTTGGTAGCAGCGGTGCTCCCAACTTCAAATATTTAGGAGCACCAAAAAAATTTTTAAGAGCACCAGAAAAAATTAGGAGCACCCACCAAAAATGAATGAGCACCGCTGCAAATTGTTTTTTAAGGGATTTATTGTATTTTAAAACAACATTAATAGGACTAACAAAAACCAGAAACAACTATCTAACTAATGCTGCAAAGACATTGATATTTGTGTGCAATAATTCCAAAATGAATGTCTAATAATTAGGCCACAGAATATTAATGATGATAAAAAAATGAGAATAATAGTAACAATGAATTCCATTTCTCATTATGATACTGCCTTGAATGTGCATGAATGTAGGTTATCTGCTATAAAAAGTCTGTTACTTTATAAAAAAATAATTGTAGTTTGCATCAAACAAAAATGAAGCATTGCAGTAAGAAATATTGATTTTGTACTGCTGTTTTTATATGCATGTCAATTTAATAAATAATATTTCTGCTACAAAACAAACCCAAGATAATAATAAATCATTAAATTCAATGATGAAAGCTGCAAAGCAGTCATCAGTAAATAAATAAAAAAATAATATACACCTCAAAAAAAGAATAGACAAAAGAAAGTAGCCTAAGTAAAGTCTCACTTCTATCACTCTTTAAAAGTTTTGGTTTCAGTTTGTGTCAATTTAAATGTTCAGTCTGAGATGATCTTCATTTTTCTGTGTTAGTGGAAAAGCAGGCGAGTCAGCCGACCCAATTTATGAGCAGGCAGAGCAGGATTCTTGCGCTAACCATCGGCGCAATACCGGTCTTTGTTATGAGCCGCAGTTTCAGTGTAAACTTAGTAAAGGCGAGCTTCTTTGGCGATGATATGTACAGTATTAGATTTGACTTTTAGCTGACATTTGTGCTGAACACGCAGGGAATGCAACGCATGGAGATTCGGGCACCTTCTCCAAGAAGCGCGTACTCGATTGATCTCAGCTATTCACCACGTGACGTGTCATGATCGCTTTCATCTGCGCCTCAACTTTAGGTGGGCTTTGCAAACCTGTGTGCTTTAAGTTTTTACTCTTCAGCCGTTTGCATTTCCCGTAATCATAAAAGCTCCTTCCCTGTCATCTGACAGCGGAATACCTTGAGTGAATGACAGCTAATATGAACCAATATAGCGGCAGGGAAGAGCGATTCAGCATGTTTTTACAAAAAATCAAAACAGGTCGCACTACAACCATTATCTGCAGTCGCACTAATGCGCCCAAATATATTATGAGGTCGCATAGATAAATTTTCGGGCGCATATGCGACCAAAATGGTCGCAATTTCGAGCCCTGCAATTGCAGAGAGATCGCCTCCCACGTCATTTAAATCACATGTAGCATTTTGGCTTCCCTGTATGATATGATGATGCAACTAGTTGTGGTGGGACTTAAAGGCTTTTTTAGGTTTTTATTTAAAGGTGTTTTTCTGTCACTGTTTGTTTAGCCTGCATTAGTGCATTTAGTGTAAAGCTGCACAATTAAACATTAAAAGATCGTGATCTCAATTCAAACCCGCACACCATGAATGAGAAATGATTATGATTTGAATATGTTTATTAATCCTTCGCAGCGCTGCTTTTGATTGAGAGATTAAGAGTTCTTACACTCTTTCAGTTCGTGACAAACAATTAAAAAACAGAAGTACTGGGAGAACAGTTTATTGTTCAGATTTAAAAACTGATGTTTATGGTAAAGATTAAAATCCCTGTTTAATGGAACCTGACGCTGGTAAATGTTGCAGCAATTACATTGTGTAACTAATGGGTGGCAATAAACAACCATCAAAATGATGTCGCTGAATTGGTTTTTCAAAAATAATACACCTATAATGAAACATGAGGATTTTTTTGTGTGAATTGTTGAATCATTAATTGAAAATAAATATGATGTAAGATTTCCATATTTAGCATTATCAGCAACAGTATATCAAAAATGATTTTTCGTATTGAATATTTTCCTTTTTTCAGCTTTATCTTTCTTGATTGACATTTTTATTGAAATGACAGGCTCTAAATTCAGTTTGTTAAAACCAATGATTTTTGCAGAAATATTTTTTTTAAATGTAAAGCAAATTACATTTGTTCCCTCCCTTTTTTTTGCTGATCAAAAAAATTATCCGATCCATCACTCAAAATCCATAGTGTGATCCGAGCCATGAGATTTGTGATGTTACACCACTATTCTATAGTGATAGGCATATTTAAACAATAGTTGCTTTACTTTAGAATAACTCTAACGCTTCTCTGATGTATTTTATTGTCGGGGTTGTTGTAAATTAATTCTAGTCCATGTTAAATAAAAATTTGCAAGGTTTATCCAGAAGTTAATCTACATGAAATAAAAAAATAATCCACTGAACAAAGTGTGTTTGTTTTGGTTAACTTCATCAAAGTCTGACCATTTGCTTCCATGTTTGGAGTGGCAGTTCTTCTCTGTTGACGTCTATTTGATAGCTTCAGCCACAATATTCTTTACCCCACTACTGTTAGTTTGTTACAAGGGAATGATGAGCAAACAGAAAGTACTTCCTACCAAAATTCCATTTGGAATTCCAGATCAGCATTCCACTGAAAAAAACAACAACTTCAAGTTCATGCACACCCTAAAGCATCAAAAATTACATACACGGTTGTAAATTAGAGTATGTCTTGCTGATGTACAAAACATTGAAGTTTAGATCCTGTAATGCCACTACTCACATTTTCAAGTATTTTTTTATTTTTTTGGTATGCTGTAAAAGGTGACTTGTTTATATATATTCTTACTTTTATGAAAAATAGTGAAATCACATACAAGAGTGGCATGACCATACCTGTTACTCTGACTTCTATGTCAAAGCTGGCTTGCCCACTTGAGTTTTTAGCCACAATGGTATAGACACCAGAGTCTGAATACTTTGAGGAGGGGACAATGAGCGTACAGGTGCCATCATCATGAATTATCTTGTTCCAGGGAGATACAGGTTCACCATTCTTAAGCCACTTAATGTCTGGCTGTGGAGCGGCCTGTGTGCGGGATATAAAAAAAAATATCCTTTGAAGAAAATTGACTGGACCGAGGCAAGGGATATGTAAATTGTATAGATGTGGATTTCTTACCTCATAGTTAATTTTGATTCTGATAGAATTTCCTGATCTCACAACCATAAAATCTTCAGGATCTTTGAAATGGGGCTTCACTGGAAATAGTTTAAAATCAGAAAATGTGTTTGACCTCATTTCAGATATTATGTTTATTTCGCATTGTTCTTACTGTTGGGGTTTTTAGCGCAGACCATTTCAGAGGGAGTGCTGGGTTCCCCAGCTCCAGATGAATTAATGGCAATTACTCTGAACTCATACTCTGACCCTTCAGACACATCCTTCACTCCATACTTCAGTCCTGTAAGAATTTGAGATAGTGGTCATTGATTGATGCATCCTAGCAGTTGTTATTAGGACTCAACATTGTTTTACAGTATAGACTTAAAATGATATCCTTTCATTCAGTTTGGATTACCTTTGATAGGATCCTTAACTGAGTTTAGAGTCACCCACTGGTTTGTATCTTTCTTGCGTTTTTCTATCTGGTACCCCAATATTTTATTCCCTCCATCTTTCTCTGGTGGAGTCCATGATAGGTTAATACAGTTTTTGAAAGCACTGACCACCTTTGGCTGAGTTGGTGGACCAGGGAACACTACCAACAACATAAATAAAAATATTGCATGATATAAGTACCGCTCAGTATGAAAAATCCATCTTGTAAAAACTTAAAGAGATTACTTAAAGAGCCAGCCATGATTTTTTCAGTCTCCAGAGCCTCACTGATGCCCTCGGGATTCTCAGCATAGATGCGATAGATGTACCTCTTGCCAAGGGACACACTTCTATCTCTGAAGTTAAGATGGTTAGCTGGAATATCCCCAACCTTTTGCCAGGTATTCTGTCCAACCTGTAGCTGCTCAATTATATAGTTGGTCACTGCTGAGCCACCTTCATCCTTCGGAGGATTCCATTTCAGTTCAAGGACTGATGATGTGGTTTCATTCACTTCTACTGGGCCTTGAGGCGGACCTGGCTTGTCTGTTAAAGGCACAGATGCATGTCTTTTAAAACATTGTAGGCTGTTTATTTTTATAGCAGTTAAATGGTATGTTTTATATTCACCTTGTACTGTAAGACTTGATAAAGCTTCAATAGAACCAAAAGGGTTCTTTAGCCTAATTTGGATTTGGCCAGTATCTGATCGCAGACAGTCTTTTATTTGAAGACGACTGTGGTTTGATTCCTTCACCACTTTCACTGAACCTCCATCAAGAAGCTCAGAGCCATTTTTAAACCATTTTATCTCCAGTGAAGGTTGTGGGGGAAATGACATCTTAAATGATGCACTCTGGCCTGCTTTCACTATTACAGGGTTGGAGAACTTTCCCAAAGCATCAAGGTCAAATTCTGGAAGATCTAGCAAAAACACATGCAGTGAAAACAGCAGTAAAGGTTATTGTAACACCAAACAGGCAGTATTTTCTTTATGTTTAGACCACAGGTGTCAAACTCAGTTCCAAAAGGGCCACAGCTCTGCACAGTTTAGTTCCAACAATAATTAAACACACCTGATCAAACTAATTGAGTCCTTCAGGCTTGTTTGAAACCTACAGGTAAGTGTGTTGGAGCAGGGTTGGAACTAAACTGTGCAGGGCTTCGGCCCTCCAGGAATTGAGTTTGACAGCCCTGGTTTAGACAAATAAAAGAAAAAGAAAATTGTATGTAATTACCTCCAACTCGGACCATCGCCTCTGTCTTGCAACCATTTACCTCAAAATGATATAGACCTGCATCAGAATCTTTGCAATTCTGGACAACGAGCTTATGTGTGCAACCATCCTTCGAGATCACCACTCCATCTTTGGAAGTCAACTGATTGGGAAAAAAGATAAACGAATGTCAAACTCAGGCTTAACAGTTGGTAATATTGTTGTAATAATACATAAACATACCTTGTTTCCATCTTTATACCACACTCCATTAATTTTGTCAGTACTAAGTTTGCACACCAACTCTGCTGGTTTGCCACGGAGGGCATTTTTGTCTGTTAACCCACTTGCGAAGTGCAATTTATCATCTGAAATGGATGTATTTGAATGCTCTAAATTAACTTGACGTGTTATTATATATTTAAAAAATAAATGTGCATTTAAGAAAATATACTGTATATAGTACCTGCACCATCTCCACCAGATCCAACCACAGCTGATTGGCTACTCAATCCATCTCCTCCGAAACCCATTCCAGAACTCTTTCCATTTTTACCACTTACAACTGTAATGTCTTCTCCTTGTCCATACTTTGCTGACGCATCTCTATTGTCTCCCAAGCCAAGTCCTCTACACCCATCCGCTCCATCACCACGGCTATCTGTTAAATCACCATGACCATGCTTTCCATCATGGCCATCCGCTCCGTCACCTCTGCCATCTGCACCCTTGCCTCTTCTGGCTGCTTCGTCTTTTTCTCTCTGCAGTCTGGCCTGTTCATCTGCCAGACATCTTGCAAAATCATCTGCTCCATCCCCTGCACCATCTCGACCTTTCCCCCTGGCATTAGGATCCTCTGTTGTTGCATAGAGCATAACAAACAATAACTAAATACCATCTTATACAGAGGTATCTTGAAAGAAGGTGTTAGTTTATTGCTTGCTTCTCCTTGCCGACTTACCGTTAACAGCAAGAGAAGCCCTGGATGATTTAATCCCAGCAATAGCTGTGTACACACCATTGTCTTCTTTTTTGCTGTTCTTTACTACTAGTCTGTGGGTGAGCTTGTCCTCAGAGACTGTGATATTGTACTTGTCTCCATGCTCAACAGAGATGTCATTGACACACCATGTGATTTGTGATACAGGGCCAGAAAAAACACCCTCAAACACTGCATCCTGTCCCTCAACCACTTTAACATCTTTCAGCTTGCCGTCAAATTCCACATCGGGAACTGTGAAGAAATTAATAGTCGAAACAAACATGAATACACTTTAAAGGTTGTACATATGTTAATTGAAAAGCTCAGGGTATCTGTGAAGTCTTAATGTCTTAAATTTCAAAAACCAAATTTTAGGCCTTACATAGTCTTAAATTCACGGAAATATTGTGCTGTAGGTCCTAAATAATTTTAAACAGGTCTTAATTTTATTATGTTCATTTAAAGCTTTACCCAATACCCATCCAATCACTAACAATAAATTTATAATGTGTTAAAAAGAGCTTATTTATTAACTCTATTGACTTCTTAATGTGTTTTAATTATCTTCCTTACAATACCATTTGTTTTTAATGTTTTTTAAAAATGTTTTATTGAAAAATGTTTAGTGTTTAGCTTTGTGCAAGTATAAAATTGCATTCATTACGGTCTTAAAATGGTCTTAAAAAGGTCTTAAAGTCTTAAATTTGACTTGATAAATTTATGTAGAATCCCCGATGCCAAAACATGCTCAAGTAATCTAAAAATGAAATGCTTACCTTCTAATTTTGTTGTGATGATGTTGACATCATCTACATCAACTTGATATAGTCCACCATCATTTAAGCCAAGATTGTTGATGCTAAACAAATACTTGTCGCCAGTTTTCTTCATATTGTGTTTACAAGTATCATCGGAGCCAGCGCCATAATCAAGCATTTCACCATTCTGAAAAAGTTTTGGATGTGTTTTTTTTTTTTTTTTTGTGCTACATGACATTGTTCACTATCAGTGTAAAAACGTATAAACTTACTTTGTACATGTAAATTTTACTGTTTGGGTCCTTAATCCTCATATCAAACTCAAATTCAGCTCTGCCACTTGTCTTTACTTCAATCGGCTTCATGTTGTCAACGTTTTCAACCACCTGTAAGATATAAAATGAATATAATTTAGGAAAATTCTGTATTTTAATGTTATTCTATTAGAATAAAAATAAACACGGAATATCACTAAAGCAATATGACTAGATAAAAAACTAGATAGTCCAATGGGAGACAGTGAGATCAAATTTTCTAAATCCTTGAAAGTACCTTTGCTTGTTCATCCTCCTTCTCCTTTTTCTTTAGGTTAAGCTGTTTCAGCATCCACCGATAGTCAGTGATTCCAAATTCATGACAGATTCGCTCATAATCAGATTTTTTGGCATTTAGCATCACATCCCAGAACTTTGGATCAATCTCTCCCTCTTTCTTGGGTTCTTCTTTTCTCTTCTTGACAATTCTAAATGAAGAGATTTCCAAGATAAGCGAAAAAGTAACATTTATTTGTAGGAGACACTTGACTCTTTGAAGGAAAACAATTACTTGGTCTTTTTAAGCATTTTTCTGAAATCCTCAGGATCATTGGCTTCACCATCTTCAAAAAAGGAAATATTGTACAATATCAATACAACGTAAATATATAAAGCACTTCTCTTTGCATTTTATTTCAGGATGATTACAGTATATTCACCTTTATTTGAGGATGCATCAGTTTGCTTTTTCTTGAATCCAACTGAAAGATGGAAGAAATAATGACCATTTACATGACAGATCTAATTGCCTTTTTCTTCAAATTAAATGAATATGTTGGAAAGAGTTAAATGTCCTTGAATATTGCACTTTGCCAAATGAATATGTTGCCTACCTGAGAATACGCTCAGCGTAGCAGTGCACACTGCTTGTCCAAATGTATTTGTAGCGAAGCATTTGTACGTATCTGCCTGATTTACTTGCACATTTGGCATCTGTTGTTTTCAAAACAACAAATTAAACAAGAATTTATTGGTATCTACCACCACAACTTATTTCAATGTATGATCTTGTAATTTCAGATCTAAATTATTAATATATTTTACTTCTAAAACATGTTCCCTGTTCCTTTCGTCATAACGTGGCTTATATTGTTCTGGATCAGTAGTGTCACCCTTGTTGCGAGTCCATGTTACAGTCGGTGCTGGATCTCCATTCACAACCGCTTTGAAAAGGGCCACTTTGCCTTGAGTTGAAAAAAAGCAATCCATTCATCATGTCCGAGTTTTACATTTATGAAGGATATACTACCTGAAGCTACTGCTTTTTCATTCTAGCTAAATGAATAATCAGCTATCACATGCATGTTTAATCAAATTCACAGAGTAGGCTGTTGGACTATTTATCAATTGTATTTTTAATGCCTTAAAACTGAGCAACTCTTTAAACACTGTAAAATGTATTCTTTGGGTGGGGGTGATGCTTTATAACTTGCAACACTTAATCCACAATTAATAACAACTATTATTGTGATCATTATGACTGTTGCTATTATTGATACCTTCTTGTACTGTCAAGGCAATTGGTTTCCTAGTGAAATCAGGTGTAGATTTTCCACGTGGCAGTTCCTTGACATACTGGGTGATCATGACACCAGGCACTCTGGATCTCTTCTTGATCTCCACTGAAAGATATGAAAGATATGTGCATTAATAATCCATTTATTAAATGCTAAATGGTTTGCATTAGTGATTTAAGACACCAGCATAGAAAAATGGCAGTTGTGTTTTGATGATTGATGATTATTTGTTTAACCACATGAGGGCAATGTTCCCTTGAAGTCTGAACCAAAGCTAATGAGGGGCTATCGAAATGAAGTATAAGCTAACACTACCTAAATGTTTTAGGCCTGAAGGTGCATTTATAATATATGTGTTAAAAAAAAAAGAAAAAAGGATGGTAATTTGTTACGGATGATTTGGTTTTAGTGCCAGAAGCTTTCAAATGCAGTATAGGCCTATCTAAATTCTTTTGTCCAAAATATAAGAATGCATAAGACAGATGACATCACAATTATTAGCCTTCTTGTATTTCCCCCCACCCCCACCCCCCAATTTTTATTTAATGGAAAACGTTTTTTTTTAAAACACATCTCTAAACATAGTTTTGTTTTCTAATTTCTAATAACTGAATTATTTTATCTTTGCCATGATGACCGTACAATTACATATTTTGACTGAAAACTGATCATCCTATGATCTTTAGTATTATAGAAAAAGTGGGCCTTTTAAAGACTAAAGACTTTGATATTATTTTCTGCTGGATGCCTGGTCATATGGGATTCATTGGAAATGAATGTGCAGATAAAGCAGCGGAGGCCAGCTGGATATAACAGAATGTAAAATTCCTGTACCTGATATTAAACCTGTTTGAAATCTGTATTATAATGAGAAATGGCAAATGGAATGGGATGAATGCAGGAATAACAAATTGTATGAAGTGAATCCAGTTAAATAAAAGAAATAATTACCGTTTTGAAAATAGACATGATCAGGTTGTACATACGAGATGCAGAATCAGACACTCAAGACTTACACACGCATATTTATTGAATTGGGAAGACTTGTGTGTGACTGAATATTTTGACGATAAAACATTTTAATAGAATGTGTGTATTTTAAAAATGATGTTAGAAAACGTTTTTATTTGGGAAATGTTTTAAGCGAAATGTTTGAAAAGGTGCCTTCTGGAGCACTTTTAAAATATTTATCTTTACTCAAACTGAATGATTGTAAACAACTGATTTTAGTGTTGTGCTGTTGTGCTTACTTCATTGTTTTTTACAATGTATGTTTGTTAAACTGATTTGATTTTATGATTATATATTGTATATTTATTAATATATATATTTTTTACCATGAATATAGCCAATGCTGCTGATATGGCATTAAAACCTAAATAAATAAACATATTTTTGAAGATACTAATATTCCAACATAATCTCATGGGAAATCGTAACTTTTTGATTTAGTGGCTAATTCGTATAAATTCGTACAATCTAATTCGTACAATTTAGTACGATTTGCTTATCCCCCAATGACGGTTGGGTTTAGGGGTGGGGTTGAGTGCCACGCCTTCTTTTTAAAATCTTACATTTTTGTACGACTGAACTCGTACAATTTTGTACGAATTAGCCACTAAACTGACAAACCGTAAAATACTTGTTTTCTCGTGAGATCAGGCTGAATATATTAAGCTTAAAGTGAATTTAATTTTCAGTTTAAAAGATTAACTAGTTTAATTAAGCAAATCATTGTGTAACAATGGTTTGTTTTGTAGACAATCAAAAAAAAAAAGTTGGTTAAGGTGGCAAAAAATATTGACCTTAAAATGGTTAAAAAAATAAATTAAAACTGCTTTTATTGTACTTTAAATCAAACAAATCAGACATTCTCCAGAAGAAAAAATATTATAGGAAAAGCTGTGAAAAATTCCTTGCTCTGTAAAACCGTTTGGGAATTATTTTAAAAAGAAAAAATATCACAAGAGGGCTAATAATTTACACTTCAGCTTCATATGCATGTATTTAGTACTGTTATTTAGTCTTTACATGAAAATCAATGCAATTATGTTGTCGTTTCATTCTAATTTAACTTACCCTGACCAACAGGAATCTCTTCTGCAGGTTGTGGCATCTTCAGAATATATTCCAGTTGTCACTTTAAGACTTTAAGCTGTATATGAATAACACATAAAGGTTTAGAAATTCAGTCTGGGAACCCATTGGCCTTAGAATACTGTTATAAATAATCTGTATTTATGAAACTTGCAAATGACCTCATTCACACACTCACTGGAAGTTAGTGTTTTGAAAGTAAAAGCAATTATATAAAAGGCTAACATTATGAGATGAAAGTTGTAATATTAAGAGAATAAAGTTGTTAGGAAAGTAACATCAAAGCGATGTGGTTGAGGACACAAAGTGGAGTATAAATGTGTTTGTTCTGAATAAATTAAATTCTTTGCTTAACTACTGAAGTGTTCAGATAGTAATTATTACTGTGCTTGATGCACCAAATGACTGCGTTGTTTGATAAATCTCACACTGAAGAATGATATATTCTGAAATAATTAAACAATTGTTTTAAATACAAAAATACATAAAAAAATGTGTACAGAAAAATTATTAAAAAACGAGTAGTAGTGAAACTTAAATCCATAGTTTTATTTTTCCTAATAATTTATACCCTACCTGACAAAAGTCTTGTAGTCTATCCAAGATTTAAAAACAACCAATAATAATAACTTGACTTTTAGTTGATCATTCGCTATCAGAAGTGGCTTATATAAAAGGCAAAGGATTAAGCTTTACCAAATTGAAATATGATCATGGCTTGATTTTTAATTACTTAATTAGGACAGTAATGTCAAACTTTGAGTCTTGTCACTAACAAAAGTAATGTACAGTATAGAATATAACGTCATAGTGCAGTGGAAAAGGTATTAATATTGTGTTTGACTCCCATGAGCTTGGAGGACTGCATCTATACATCTCTGCAATGACTCAAATCACTTATTAATAAAGTCATCTGGAATGGCAAAGAAAGAGTTCTTGCAGGACTCCCAGAGTTCATCAAGATTCATTGGATTCTTCTTCAATGCCTCCTCCTTCATCTTACATTCTCTATAATGGCCTGTCTGGTGATTAGGCTGGCCAATCCTGGAGCATCTTGACCTTCTTTGCTTTTAGGAACTTTGTGGAGGCTGAAGTATGAGAGGGAGTGCTATCCTGCTGAAGAATGTGCCCTCTTCTTGTAATCCCAAACCATTTTCCTTCAACAAACTTGACTGATTTCTGTGTGAATCTTGGGTCCATGCGGGTTCCAATAGGTCTTCTGTAGCATTTGTGATGATTGTGATGCAGTTCAACAGATGATTCATCTGAAACAATCGACCTTCTGCCACTTTTCCAAATGATCAACTAGAAGTCAAGTTATTATTTGTTGCTCTTACAACTGGCATCGACGACAAGAATTTTGTCAGGTATATATTAGACCATTTCATGATGAATTTTCATAGAATAAATATCAGTATTAAAAAAGTATACATAAGTACCAAATTTTAGGATAGGGGTTCCTCAAACAATGGTGATTTTTACCTGCCCCTGGTCTACTTTGAGATGTACAGTATATCTTTTGTATCCCAAATCTAGGATATTCTTAATAATAGCTTAGGTTATTATGTAGAGTATTCTTAAATGCTTCGGCTTCCCCCACAGTCCAAAGACAATTGGTATAACCTAAATTGGCCATAGTGTACGTGTTTGATTGAGTGTGAATGGATGTTTCCCAGTACTGGGTTGCAGCTGGAAGGGCATCCCCTGTGTAAAACAGGCTGGATAAGTTGGCTGAAGGAAAATGAATGCTAAAAAAAGTAAGATCAGTTTGTAGATCTCTGTTGGTGAATGTTATTCAAAGTAATGTGAATGTTCCTCTAAAGGTATTTCTATATTTCCTGCTTTTCAATAAGGATAGATTAAGTAATTAAAGCAAGTATCACTAAAGTGGTCCCATGCTCCCTCTTACTTCTAATGGTCCTTAAGACGATTCATTAGGCCATGACCTTTCAAAAGTTAACCAGTAAAGATATATTAAGAATTTGGTTTCATACATATCGCACATGGCGTAATACTAGACTGGCAGTAAAACACTTATTGGCATTCCAAGATTCACTGGATCCTCAGCAATGCTTTTATGAGGCCAAAGGGGAAAGAAACAGTTATCCAGCATTTGACAGATCACACGAGAACAAAACGAAATTATGTGTGCCTCAAAATGGCCTAGCACACACAAAAAGAAATCTTCAGATGTTTAGTAACAGTGTTTTGCTGAGGGAAAAGAAGCAGATTTTAAATGACTTTCTTTAGCGGCTGAAGCAAAGGCCCTCCACCATAAGGCTGGGATGATGAGGATCTGGGGTCCTAACCTCCGTTCAGATTGCTCATTTTTCCTGACTATTTGTCAATTGATCTTGAGAGTTCTGGCGTCAAGCTGTACAGTCTATATCTAAAATCTTCTTATATCTTTCTGTCTGACGGAAATTTTGTCTCTCTGTTGCAGATGAAAAAGTAAAACCAAATAAAACAGATAAAAGATCCACAGAAGCAAATAAATCTATATCTGTCCATCTGTCTGTCTTTCATCCATCCATCCATCCATCCATCCTTTAATGACCAAGTATAGTGTTGGGCTGATTAACGATTTTTTATCAAATTACAATAAAATATAAGTCGATAACAATGATAAGCTCTGGACTTTTTGTTTACTCTATATTTATCTAAGAGACAATCACACAGCAGAAATGTGCAACAATGGGATTTAGAAATGTGTTGACATTAGGGATGCCACTGAAAATAGGTTATGCTGTTTAATATAGCCTCTAATTTGTGGCTTCTGTCATTGTTGGGATACTCTTAAATCTGGAAGCATCAACAACTGATATCGAAATGTATATCGTTATTGTTTAATATGGAAAAAAAATTAATTGAGATTGCATTTTTTACCACATTGCCCAGCTCTATGACCAAGTGTTTCATTGAATAAAATATGATTAAGCAAATTAATTAATCTAAATTTAGAAATGGAATTATAGCCCCTTTGAATATTGTTACATTTTATGTCATAGT